ACAACCCTTCGCTTGTCAAAAGAAATATGAACCCATAATTACTATCTGTCCAACTCGTTGTAGTTAAAATTAGGTCATTCAAAAAAAAAATTTTTTTTTGATATCATACCCTTTGTATTGACATATGAGTGAAGTGGGATAAAACCCTGGGAGGGGGGCAATTAAGTAAAAAATGATGTCAAAAGGGTAGGTTTTAGATCAGCTGCATAGATAAGTAATGGTGGATGCTCTATTTTTTTTACAAATGATGTGTAGAGGGTAAGATATGTTAATATAAAATGCTTCCATAACAAACCTTTCAAAATGCACACAGGTTTTTTGATACTTCTGTTTACAACTTTTCAATAACTCAAGAAAAAAAGAAGTAAATTGATATAGAATGTGCAAACCCAGTGCAACACTCGATCTTCAAGGCACTTACAGCTTGTGGTGAAGTCTGTCTCTAAACATTTACACAAGGCAAACTCCTAAATGCTTGCAGTGTACAAAGGTGTTCCTCAAACACTTCAAAGTAAAACAGAAGATTGAATTTTTAACAGATTAATCAAAATAGATATAAACAATGACAACACACTTTTATGGGAATGTTTGCAAAGTAAAGCTATAATACTTCAGTGAATAACATTTTGTTCTATTTTCTAGGGTACAAAAGTAACTCTGACAGCTGAGTGTTTCTTATCTTGCCTCGTAATTGAATTGCTTAAGAAATGTTATTTGGTGTACCATGTCTTTGTGGGAGTAACATGTACTTTTACGAGCTTGCTGGTCTCTGTTGAACAAAGTGTTATGGAGCACTTAGCAAAAATACACGATATATGAAAGACACCATACTGCACAAGTAATTTTTTATGCACATATTTTATGTTCATATTGCTGTCGCTGTGTTCCAACTAATACTTTACTAAAACATTCTGATTGGTTTTAAAAATTGAAAGGTGGAAATACTTTGTTCACTCTGGGTCACTCCCAAAGATATTTTGAAAATTTTAGTTTTAGATGCACAGTTTTTTTTATTCCTGAGATGGAGTTTTCTCCATTTTTGGAAGGCCAAGGGATCTTATTTTTGAAGATGAAAGAAAGAAAAGTGGAATTGCAGCTCTCAATGAGAGTAAAAATAATAATTGCTTAGCATGCCATTGGATTTGAGGGCCTTCAAAAATTCTCACATAAAGTATCAATTTTGCATCCATACAAGGAGCCATAAAGTATACTACAGTTGTGATCCCCGCCGTGATTTGCGCTGTGATTTGCGCACTTTGAAATTCCCCAATGACATTCCCATTAAACATGCTAGTATTGATGGATTTGAACAAGGAAGTCTTCTGTGCCTGGTGGCCAGAGGGGGCGATTTTTGCAAATTTCAAGGTAACTTCCTTGAACCTAACTGAAAGGTTATAGCTACGGTTAATTAAGATAAGTGAGTTTGGAGGATATCAGTGATCAAATCACTTTAGTTCTCTCTAAGTACACTAAGTTGTTGACCTCCCCTGTATTTGAAGAATGTGTAAGGAATGAAATGGCTGAAACATATACCTGAGCATACATTGTTTTAACTTATTAAAGATACAAATTGTGAAAATAAAGGTATTTATTGAATTTTTTGTTTATGTATTAAACACATATATCCCAATTTCTGTATGTGTGAATATACGATAGGTCCTGGTTGATGCAAAACTAATAAACTAACACTAAAAAGTAAAAAGGTAGTGTGTAAATTGGAATCTTATGTTAAAGAAGCTACGGAAAAGAAAAAGAAATTAAGAGCAAGACATTAAGACAGCCTTAACATGTTTAACTTCAACTTCACTAAGACCAGTGCATTCTGTGCTGACACTTGTAGCAGGCAGTGCACGTCTAAGTGCAGAAAAGACAATACGTCTATGCACTGTGTGACTTCACACCACTGCTATCACTGCCATTTAAACTAGTAGGCATCTGTTGACAAAGTCAGTCTGGCCTTTGCCAATAAACTTCCTGAAATTCAGCCTTTTTCTGTGACTGCAGGGACTGCACTTAACCTGCCTCAATTTTCTACAATTAAAATCACTTGGTAAGAAATTAACTAAATTGGACACATGCCAGTAGAAGTCACCCTCAGTGATACAAGTGAAATCCGTAAAAATAAGCCAAATACATAGCTGGATTAATAAGGCTGCATGTCAAAGGCTAAAATTTATATTCAAAATGTTTACATTTTAATTCTGATATCATTCTCCTGTGCAAAGTTGCACAATTTTTCAACTCACTTTAGCAGTCAACAAATGTAACACAGCCCAACTTTTATCTTATTATTATATGAGGATCGCAGGCACCAAAACCAGCATAACAATTTAAAAAATGCACATTCTCACTCTTGCCAAACCAAAATGGCTCATTTTCATTAAACTAAGAAAATAAGGGTGATCATTTACTTTGGTAATGATGATCTCTTTGATGCCAATACAAGGGGGTCAAGTTCAGAAAGCACCCAGAAATCGGGGGAAATAACTCCAGCTGGTTCCTTGATGTGAATTCTTCAACTAATTCCATTACCCTTGCCGTGGGTTGATTGTAATTGACAGTGTCTTGGGAAGTTTTTAAAACAAGGCACTTACTGACCCATGAGTAGATTAGAGGTAAATTTACAAGGTAAATGAGAGGTCCCCAGTGCACACAGTCACTCAGTGCCGCTGATGTCAGAGCAGCACCTTCTGCTGTGCTATCACTTTCATGCTGCGGCAGGTATAAAACTGGTGGCAGGCCTCAGCCTTCAGGCACAATTAGCTGGAGTTGAGAGCAAGAAGGAAAGAGAGTGAGAAACAAAGATAGAGAGATATTCACAATGATGGATTGCTGAAGCAAGTTATACTTGACTTGTGAATTCTCAGAATACGTAAGGTTCCAGAAACAGTGATGCAGAACTTCTAGGAATTGTTATTGCCTGGATTGTTCTCTTGGCATTTTGTGATTAGGAAAAGAGCCACAGATAATCTCAAACTCTGCAACATCGCAGGTTTTCATTAAGATTGCAACAACTGGAAGCAGATGATCAATGTATTTGAAACCATTTTTTAAAAATGATATTGACATGTGGGCAATTACTGACAGCCATTCCATGACTTCTCAATTTTCTTAAGTTGTGTAAGATTCTTTCTGAAGCCTTTGGTCTGGCTCACATAAGGTTAGGACACAGAGTTGAGCTTGGTGTTACCTTGTTCCTTCCACACGAGAAGTTTTCCTGATCTGCAGTCTCCAATCATCTGGAACATATTCTACACAGAGCAATAGCTTCAGGTGCTATACCAGGAGTACCTCCTGTGAAAGAAGAAAAAAAGAACTGAAAACGTTGTAGTTTCACAAGCTGTATCAAAGAACCAAGAGGCTTTTAAAGTTGATAAGACACTTAGATTTTCTAGTCAAACCTGTAAACATAACTAAAAAATAGAAGAAAATGTTGATATTTTCAAGGAAAAAGTCATCATGCAATGGCGGAAACTGGAAGGCAGTGGTAAGAGAAAGAAGTGTAGATACCTGATCTGATAAAAACTTTGATGAGTGCTGCTTTTCAAATTACTCATAACATTTGAGAACATCTCCATAACTTTGCTGTCAGGGTGTTGTTGGGTGATATGTTTACCTTGAGTACAAATTTAGAGGAAGTGCGATCATGCCCTTCAAATTTCTGTCTGCTTAAAAACACCTACTTTCTTGTAAATGTAAAACTTGATTTTCATCAATCTCCTTTGCACCATGTTTTGGAAATTTCCTAAATCCAAACACTTCACTAAATTTTCATTTAACGTCATGACTTGATGAAGGCAGGTATAAAAACTGCCATCTATCTTTCCACTTCATATTGTGGCTGAATCTCCAGGTAAGTTGTATTGGGGAAACCTTTGGGCTGAGTGATTGTTGAGAGTTGAACTCATAAAAAAATGTAGTTTAACCAAAAGACAGATACTTTCCTGTATAAACTGATAGACGTGTATATTCTATGGATGATATTATGAGGTCATTTTTTAATCGGATGAGTACATGTAATTGAAAGGCGCTGAACATAACACTTTGTATATATTGCAAAAAATGCTCAGGTGAGATAATTCAAAATTAACCTAAAATTAACTTAATAACGCTATTTACTAAGTCATTTTCATGGGATATCCATGCAGTGTGTCATATGATTTCCATAACCCTGTGACCCGAGAAATGAGCTATTAGTTAAATATGTATATGGCTAATTTAACCTTCAATCTTGCATGCCTTGGTGCTGATGTAGGTGAAATAACTGTGATACTGCTCACTAATTACCTGTCTCAGTCACATTGGTGAGGATGGGGTGCAATTTCTTACTTAAGAGGTGGACAGAGTGTATTTAGTGCAGTCCCCCCAGTGAACGTTAATGACCACGTGCACTGATGAGGGCGTAATCTCTTATGAGTCTTTTTGTCTCAATTGCTGCAAGGGGTCGCTGGTCTTTTCCAGATATACAAGGATGTTCTTAGTATGCTCACTTTACGAAACAGTTTTTTTTTACAAAAACGAGTGCAGGTCTGGATATATTGTGAACACACATCACGTGATTAGGACCACATTCTCAGCAGTTCAGTATTCTGGCTGATGGACTAAAAGCATATGACATACCAGTACTTGAGTTGGGGCTAAGTCAGCTTCCAGTTTAAGGCAGTTTTAATTACTTGATAAACACCATTAGCTGCATGGGTAGCTTTTTAAAATTCTAGACCTGCAGCTGAAGTACGAAATAATTATCTGACATTAAGTTCCAACCTTATACAGGCATTTGACAAAAGTTAACTGTCTACATGGTCATCACAACAGTATTTGGTAGTCAAATTATGGTGGTACAAACTTTTAAAACAGACATTTAAAAGACAGATATCCAGTGCTTAAATCAAACAAATAAAAAAAAATCATTCATTTGTCTCTGCTGATAAAAAATTACTGTACTGTATATTTGATATGTCTACCATACAAATTAAATATCTTCATTCGTTTTATCACAGGGCAACTGTACATGGTGCAGTATGAGTGGAAGAAAAGTGGTGCTGACCCCCACCAACCTTCTGTCCCTATCGGATAAAGAATGGTCAGCTCTACAGAAGATAGCGCTAGCCAAGTTACAAGGGATGAATCTAGGCTGTCCTATAGCTATACCAAAAGGTAAGTCTAGAAGTGTGGAAATCTTTTGTCTTAACCAGAAAGTAATTAGATTATAATTTAGGTGGTTCAAAGTTTTTCCAAAGATCATAACTGAAGGAAAAATTAACAGATAGGGGAAAAAAAGAAAATCTTGACCAGTGTGAAATATATGTATACATTGTATTATAGTTTACATATATTTACTTCTCTCAGCACTAGTTGATGCTAGGTTAAAAGTGAGGAATTGATAAATATAGGCCAAAATTTGACATTTATCTCGCTGCATGATCCTAAAGGAATGGCACTTGAAATCCATAGTGAAGTACATGTTTCCTGCTATGGCGTTAGTACCTTCAGGAAAGAAACAACTTTAGAAATATGTTTCTTCTGGTGACTTCATACTTGTGTAGTATCTATATATAGGGAAGAAATCACTTAAAAATATGTTCCCTTGAGGTAAATCAGTATCATTAGGAAAAGAAACGACTTCAGAAACTTTGTGGTCCTCCTGTATCCACCCACCCACTCATTCTCAGATGCTGAGTCAAGGATTAGAATGATGGATTAAAATTGGGCTCAGGATGGAGGATGGCATACATAAAGGAGTGTGTGGGATTGTGTGGGATTACAAATGCAAATATATCAGATATTTTGAGGATTTTAGGCTTATTTGATCATATAGCTTTAATTAGGTGACATTGAACTTGCTTTGAATCTAAATTTTTCACATACTGAATTTATTTTTGCAATTAATATGTTGGGCAAAACACCAACCATTCTTAAGTATTGGATTCATCACTGCAAATAGACATGGACACAAATTTTCTACCATTGCTCAATCTGACAGTACTTCATTCAAAAGAAATGAAAAATTCAGTGGTGTTGATTTACATCAAATATTACTTTCCTTCATAGTCTGTCATACTGAAATCATATAGCTATAAAAACTTTAATCTCAAATGATCTAATGAATTTTGTCTTTAAATGTGCCAATATATGCCAAAATGCACATGGGACATACATGCTTTTTATATAAAAATTTGTTACTCATTATGTATGTCATATGTCATAAAGCCTTTGTAATAAATACACTTGAACATTATTTCATCTTTAAAAAAATCAACAAGGCAAAAAAGAAAGATTAAGCAGTTTTGCCCTTCAGACCACCAAAAGAGTAAAGGTTAAATCAATTCCCAGCCTTTCTGTCTGTAAGAGATAAAAACTCCACTTCATTTATCACTCAAAAAAGACCTGGTCACTTCTCAGTCCTATGTTATTATTGGCACAGAATGCCTTTGCTATATATATATATATTCATGTTTTGGGCCCTTGTCAGTCTTATGGCAGGTCTGGGTTTAAATGTAGAAGGTCACAGATTTTTTTCCCTTGCTTGGCTTTCCTCATCCTAAAAAAGTCCTCTTGATCCTCACAGTCCTCACAGTCCTCAGTGTTATTGCATATCTTTGCTGGGTGGAAGTAAAGTTACTGGCATGCATGTACCCACTATGAACCTCAAGGTGGCAAGTCTACATGTCTACATACTGGTACAACTGGAAAAAAAAAGAATAATAGTGGTAATATTAATGAATAATAATGAAAGAAAATTGATATTCCATAGATAGGACATCCGCCTTTGCCCCCCTGCCTTGCTTTTGCATGTATCTTTCTTCACCTGTAATTTGCACACAGCTGTGGAATAAAAAGAAAGGTGTTTATGTTTACATTGAGGTTTTCGTTCTCACCTGTTCTATACAAGGTTATGGACAGATAAAATCAGGTTTAGATCAGCATACACAATCAGTGCTTTCTTACTTATCACTCTGGTAGAAGGAAGTATTCTAGAGTCTACAGATCCAGATGTTTATGTTTCCTCACAAATGTTGCAGTTTCTTAAGCCTTTTCTAAAATTCACACAAAAGCTGTCCTAGCTTGCACTACAAAACCAATTAATGAATCTGAAAGTGTTAAATGTTCATGTTGGCAATTTCTAGTTTTGGATATTTTCAGATTGTTATGCATTTATTAACAAGTTTAAAAACAAAATTAAATATTCGACGATATCTAATTCATTAATGAATAATAAGTTAGAATATTCAATTCAGTTTAAATGTCTTATTTTTACAGATGGTTCAGGATCACAGAAGCAGAAGAAGAAGTATTTTGCTCTCAAGAAAAAGTCCCACACAACCCATCTGGGTGACCTTATTGATAATATTAAGGACAATTTTCGAGATAAAAGTAAAGAAAAAGAAAATAAAGGTAAGTGGATGAAAGCACTGACTTTGCAGTCAAACATTTTCTGACCTTCAGTTCATTCACTGTTGATTGGGAATGCTTGTATTTAGAAGAGATGTACATTTAGTATGGACCAAATTTTATTTCAGAAGGCTGGTACAGTATGTTGTATGTGCCATGAAATAAGCTTTGTAAATAATGTAGAGATGGTTACTGCATGCCATACTAAAGGACCACTTTCAGCTTAAAATAGTCACATTAGAGCATGGACAATAATTTTTAAAAAAGTGCATTGTCATGAATTACTGTATAGAACTGTATAGAACTATTTTGCCTGTAGTATTAACATGATGTTTACTGTATGTTGCTGTCTGTTGCAGGTTCTGTCCCCATATACATTACTGTGACCCAACGTTGCATTAAGACCTATGTGTATCTATAATTATACCAGTCTTCCCTTTTCTCCAGCTTTCTTGCTCACAGCTTTGTCTATAGTACTAATAGATATTCAGAAGTGAAATGAAATAATCTTACATCTCATTCCAAATTCTAGCAGATATTGATGATAAGTAGGGCACTTCAAAAAATTCTCTACCCCCCTTCCCCCATACGCACATATACAAGCTGACTCACAGTATTATGATGCTGATAATAAACACAGGCACTTAAAGCACCATCTCACTGTGGTTAAATTTAGGTGCAGACCACACACTTTTAGACAGGAATCATCTAAATATGTCTTCTCCAGGTGTAGTTTATTAAACCTATGATCCGATTATGTTCTATAACCTTTTAATTTAGGAGCCCTTTAGCACTGGCTGCAGTTAACTTTAGGATAATATAAGGTGCATACATGATGCTTACCTGACTTGAGGGATAGGGATGATGAGTTTGGTGGATGGTGTCTTAATTGGGTCCCAATTAACAGAGAAACAAATGTGGGTACATTTTGTCCTTACCAAAAATAACAAACAAATATGCATACCCATTTATACTCACTGGCTTATCAGTGGATGGATGGCAGGGGCATTTGTTGTAAATCATACTCTTTGCTTTCTCTTTTTCAGTACTGTCTACAATTCCAGCCTCTGCTGGCAGTTCCATAAGTTATCTGAAGGGGGGTGGGGGGGGGTGGCATAAGGATATTTTTCACTTCTTTCATTTTAAAATAGATAAGGGTGGGTAGGTACTTTTCCTCTGTGCTTATTTAGGATCCATGAAGGTCTCTGCCACCCACTCCACACCCCCCCTTCTCCCTGAATAAGCATACAGGTGTTAGTCTAACCACATGGGTTATGCCAATGAATCATTGTTCCTGGTCAGCTCTCTACATTCAGCATTACTCTCTGCTGAATGGTCTATATTGTATGTAATGCCAAGAAACCCAAAACACCTGGCAGAATGAGACTGCATGTGCACTTCACATCTAAAAGGAACTCCTGGTTTTAATCCCAGCCCTGCTGTGGTTTTCTGGCTCTCAGAATTATAAGCCATGATTCATGCATCCTGAGATAAAATGCAAAAGTTAACATTGTGGTAAATAGTGTCTGCATGAAACACTATTTACATATTTGTTTGTTATTTTATTTCATTAGATTTGATCAACTAAGTGATTTGAAAGCACTGTACCAATCCTCACTCCATGCACATTTGCGTAAAGAATATATTGTGACTCACTGGCTATAAGTGTAGAAAAACTCAATGTCATGGATATATTTGGAGAGGAAAATTAAACAGCAGAAGCATATACACATTCGAGGAAAAATGCATGCTTGCAGAGAGGGAGAGGGAGAGAGAAAGGGAGGGAGGGAGACAGGGGAGGGGGAGGTAAGCAGAAAATAATGACAATCCACAAAAAGAAAAAGATGAAGTTACCAAATTGATAAAATATATTTCGTATCCACAACTAATGCACATCATTGACCCTTTCCAAATCTCTAGTCAAACTGCAGCCCCTGCATAAGTTATGGTTCTTTATCCACCCCGCCCCACCCCTAAAAATCTCTGGTTTTGCAGCTTAACTTTTGGTGCACCAGGAATATGTGATGCTCCCAGTGACCTGTGTTATTGATCAGTTATCCCGATTAGATCAATTAACTCTAAAAGCTTCAATTCTATGGGAAACAGGCAATTGCTAGCATGAGTAGAACCAAGCTGCAGTTGCCGAGGTCTAAATATAGCAGCCTGATACCTGCAGGATGCCTCTGGGACTGACATTTTAAAAGTACTGAAGGGCTGTATGAGTAGCTTTGAAACCTTTGTATGTATATGAACTCAATAAATGCACCGTCACTATTTTAGTGTGCTCACACCCCTTTACAAAAATTACCCAGTATATAAACAAAACATGCTTAACAATTTATGAGCCTCTATATAACAGAGGTTAACGTGGTAAGGTTCATATCTGGTGTCCTTTTGCCACCGATGCCTTGGAACAAATGTTGCAGTGTATTAAAAGAAATTTAGTGAGGAACAAAAAAAAAGTATAAACTTCTTTCTTTTTTGTTTAGTTTGCATCAGCATCATTCATTTAAGTGGCAAAGAGACAACTAGTGTGTGTCACAACAAGCAGAAGATTTTGAAATATGCAAAAAATGCATTATTTATTGTATTTCAGTGTGAAAGCAGTTGCAGAATGCATTTTAAAACATCTGTCTGTTGAAACCCTAGTTTATAGAAATTGCATTTATGGGCTTGCAGGTTCCATAATTTTTTTTTCATGTTGTTTTTTATTAAGAAGAACATATCCATAACCTAACCTCTACTTGAACTGATGAGGTCTATTATCAGCTCCAGGGTTGTATTAATAACATATACTTGGAGCAATGGTCCTAGTACAGTTTTGTCCAAGTTCTGGCTTAGCTGCTATTGCTTTCATTCCAATCTCACCTCAAACATGCGGGTGATATACTGGTGCTGACCCTATCTAAGGTGAAACGTGCAATCATCGTCGATTTAATTAACATTTTTTTCAGCCGTGACCTAAGGAATCTCACCTGAGGTGCTTGTCACTTAGGTTCACACCTTCAGCCCCCTGATCTATTTTCCAATTAATGTGGTCAAAACTGCACGAGCGAAAAGATAATAGATAAATATTTGCACCATGATTGCATTCCCAGCTTTTTCAGCTATCAAAAACCCATTTCCATGTGGTCAACCTTACCATTCTGTAGTGCAGTAAATGTAAGAGCTAGTATGATGGAAGTATGGTCTGAATGGTTATCTAGAACCGAAGTGAATCTTACACCATACAGCGGCCATAAACTGAGCAGCAGTTGTATTCTGTCAAGCTTTCAATAATGACCTAATGTAAACAAGTGTATTAGTTCTGAGTACCACCCAAGGACTTTTATGTTAAGTATACCACTTAACAAGTAGACAAACCATTTTATTATCTATTTATTTTTTTTTCATAATGATCTAGCTAGCTGTTCTACCTTGTAGTTTTATATCTCCAGTTCATCACCACCCAAGATGCCCTGTGTATTCCATTTTCCTACCAGATGCACTTGTAAAGATAAACAGAGAAACATTTATAATTTTTTCTATCTATAAATGATGACCTGTACAAATTCTTTACCTTCAGATCACCACCCAGGAGGTCTAGTATTTGGTATACCTCTTTCTAAGTGCATTTCTAATGATCTCGCCCTGAAGAGGAGAAAGTTATCCCTACTTCAAGAAAGACAAGATGATGGATGTAATACGCAGAGGAGGTGAGATTTCTGTCTATCTTTCTTCGATTCTATGTACACACATGCATTGTGTTGTGCACATATTTTATATCAAATACTGGTACATGCCTGCAACATTGTTATATCCATTGTATCTGAGCACACATGCATACAGAAGTGCATGCACATTCTTTCTCCATAATTGATGATTCACTGTAACACAGAAACTAATTAGTAAAATAAGACAAGGAAATAAACAAACAAAAGAACTATACATGCAACAACCATAAAATGACAAATTATGATTAACACAAGCTAATATGGCAAAAATGAAACCAATTATCAGACAAAATAACTTCCTGCTTCATAGCCCATTATGAATATTTCAGCATACCTTTGAACTACTACTGGCGGGGGAAGGGGGTGATGTACAGAGATAAACCAATTGCAATCTTTTGTCATTTCTGCATTAAAAGGTAGTAGGAAGCTCCCAGTATGCCCTGCTGCTGCATAGCATTATTCTGAAGATTCATTGGTCTAAATGTTCACTATAGAACCTTCAAACCAACAAACCCTTTTTATTAAACACTGATGAAATTTTTTTCAATTTTTCGGACCAATAAACCTTCGGACTATCGAGACACATGCCCCATGGTTCTGCCTTTGCTACCGTTGGTCTTCCTCCTTGTAGTCCCAAGTAAACAGGCAGTCCATCAACAGTGCTGCCAGCTAGTCTGACAGGTTGAGAATCTGTCAGTTCCACCTCTCAACAAGTATATGTACCCTGACTTTCAGAGCAGCAGGAGTGATCCTTGTTTTCTATATAATCTTGTTACCTTTAGATCAAGCAGGTTTATGGCAGACAGCAATCCTATCTTATGCACATACCTGTAATAATCCAAAATTTTAGCAGTGTCGCTCCAAGAAAGTTATGGAAAATTTTAATGAATTTATTGATATGGGGCAACCATTTTCTCAGCCAAATTAACAAAGAGCAAAAAAAAAAAAAAAAAAAAAATGCAAGATTATCTCAAAAGAAACTGAAACCCAAGGTACACAAGGCAGGAAGTACAGGTACAACTGTACCTGTAGAAAAGCTTTGCCAAGCAATGGAAGACAAACTTACAATCAGAGAAGTTGCCCTCATTAAAAGACGTATTAAAGGGCAGAAACAGTGGGAAGATCTGGTACTGTCTGTTACAAGAAGTAACTACTATGGTAGTAAATAAATTAAGTAACATCTTTGGTGTGATAGGTACAGAGAGGATTCACATGGTAGCTGTCACACTTGTGAAGACTACTCACCTATCAATGAACCAGCCACTGATGGAAGCCAGACATGTTTTGATATTGTGAACCAAACCTATACCTATGTGTGTGCTTGAACTCAGCCTTGTAACTACAAGCTGCAGTATCGTTGTACAAAATATTGTCAAAATACTCCCCAGAGCATGCACTGTGCTGGAGCAGTAAGCTTGAAATATCAGTTGGCGAACTTGTCAAACACTTTATGGGCATGGTTATTAAAGTGAGCGTGCTATTTGCCCTTAGATAAGAATAAAAAAAAAAAAAATCAAATTACACATTTTTTGAAAAACATCATGCAGTCTGACATGGTACTTCAGAATTAGTACCTAGTCTAGACTAATGCATGTAAATTATGATTTATAACTAGATTTTCTTAACTAGTAGAGTCAATATATCAAGAGTTTATTTCATTTTATACATACAAGGTATGTGTGTAGATTCCACAGAGGCATATTAGGAAACAAACAGATAGATTTTAGGTTAACCTTTCTTATCACCCGGCCCAATTCAGATTTATGAATAGTTTCTAATCATCTCTGTGATGTAATACCAGGCCCAACTGTCTGGAAAAACTGAAAATATTACCAGGAATGCTAAGATTTCCAGGGGATTTCCTTTACCTTTCATACTGTGATTTATCAGTTAACCAGTAAATCTGGCAATCTTGCTCAGAATGATCAATTAATACCAAATGTTCATCTCGCAAGACTCAGAAAAAAATATAATTTTCAGAAGCATATCTTTATATACAGTTTACCTAGAAGCACTAGTGCATGGCGTCATTGAGAACTGATTGAAGAAGATTACTGACAAATTATATCTCTTGCTCTTTACATATATACATGTAGACCCTATCCCTTCTAAACCACATCCCATACAGCACAGCAGTGATATGATCAACTTGGAAATTAAGTACTAGTAAACACCTGGACAGTGTAGATAATGATGAGGAAAACACCATCCCAACACCCCAGATGGCTGGTAAAAAACCTACCAGACCAGAAACAAGATATTAGCCAAACAAGACTGAGTCTACACTTCCAATGTAACTCTATTCACATCTTAACAGCAAAAAACATGTCTGTTATGTGGTGCTTTGCCATAACCATGAATCACAGGTAATAGAGAAGTTGGAAAAACAAACATCCAGCTCAAAACAGAGCACTATCGCTCAGAAGATCTAAAGGTTATATCTTTAAAGCAAACAACAGTTAGCTTTAGATTGCCTGCTCTGGTTCTATCAGGTTGCTCCTGGACACAAAATTCAGACACACGAACAAATGTAAAAACCATTATCTTTCTGTTCTTGTTTCTTTAAGTAGGTATAAGTTTAGCTCAGGTGGCCCTATTAAACAGCTTCTGTTACAGTGCAATGAGTTTAGAGTTGCAAGTAGTCGGCTGAAAAAGTACAGTTGTGACGTAAATGACAATTTGGCAAAAGTCAAAATTTTTATGATAGCATTCTAGTTTAACGCATCATTTCTTATCTGTTTTAACAAACTTGATTAAAATATTTCATTATTCCAAATTGTTCAAACCACTATCTTTACAAATTTTGGCTTCTGTTACTACAGAGCTGCACGTTGTCATAATACAAGAATAAAATGTCATAAAACTTAAAACTATACTTTAAAAGATATTGCATTTAGGTTATTATCTAAAATATATGATTATTTGAAAGAAGAGGTGCCCAAAAATATTTATTAAAATAACCATTATATTATCTGCTCCACAGGAAATCAAGTAGTTCCTCTACCAGTTCTAGTGCAACACAAGATGGCAGCTCTTCCCTGCTGCAACTGCCAGTTGATCTGGCACACAGAAAGGTAAAACATTGGCATACATGCATGTGTTGGACCAATTTCAAGTGGTTTCTCTGATGCACTTGACTAAATGTGACTAAGGTCTGCAAAAAAGAAAATAAATAAATAAATAAATAAATAAATAAATAAATAAATTAGAGAATGTAGACAGTGTGAGTATAAAGATATTGCTGAAAATTTGCAAATCTGTTGACCAATGATGTATAAGTATCTGCGAGTTTGCAAGCCTGTTTCATTTAATTCTATTTTTCCCATTGTTGATAAGCAAGTCGCATTGGATCAAAGCTTAAACAATGATTGTTTGATCTAATGTAGTGGTCAGGCAGCTAGATTTAAATAACCACTTCAATTCATGTTATATAAAAACACACAAAATACATTTTAATTACAATAAAAACAATCTCAGTGCTTGCTTTTCATAACGCTGAGTATCTAAGAGTGTTTGGTTCTTCTTTAGAATGATAGTTCAGAGTCACTTAGCAACCTGGAAGGGCGCAGAGGTTCTAGTCAGCTGATTGATGCACTCACACTCTCTCCGCGTACTGAAAGGCGGCCAAGTTTTACTCCTAATTCAACTCCACAAGTGCCATACATTGTTAATACTTGTTTCAAGCACATTGAAACATATGGTGAGTACTTTCAAGTTGTTGTTTTTAGATTCAAAAATAATTTTAAAAATCTAATTGATACGCATTGAGTCTTCTGAATTGGTCAGACTTTCAGTTATCCTCAGGGTCACCTTTCTGTTAAAGCAGTTGACAAAGTTTTACACCTTCGAACATGCTCACTACTGAATGTAGATCACACACATGTACATCTCAGATAACTTTCTTTTTTAGAACATGAAAGTCATCATCAGATTACGTCTGAGCAAAAATATGTAGTTACATGATTAAAAAAGGTTAAAAAAGTCATTAAATCAGTTATTAAATCAGTTATATATAAATCTAGTTAACATCAAGGCTAAATACTATACACTAATTCTAATAATCAAATTCCAATCACAGAGAAGCAAATATTCCAGAGGTAAAAGCATGGTTAAATGTCCATTTCATAGCATAATGATGTTTCCAGGTTTACGGGTGCTGGGCATCTTTCGAGTGGGGAGCTCAAAGAAGAGATCTAAACAGGTGAGACAGACATTAATATTCACCCACATTTCCCAGGCCTCAAAAGTACTAGAGAATAAATAAATATTCCCCTACCACAAATATGCATAATAAAATTCCTGAGTCAAAATATTTTGTAGATTAAAGTGTTTGAGGGGTTTGAAGATGTATCATGCACGTAAGCACTATATTTACTTTGCAAATTTCACTTCAAAGAAAACAGGAGTTAAGACTGATGTTCCATTCGCACCATAATCCTGAAATCTATGGTAAAGTGATACCTAACCCAATATTTTCACTCTACACAGAACATTTGCCAGCTGTTTCTAGGAATTAAAATTGATTAGGCACCCTGGAATTTACCCTTCAGTTTACCTGGATAGATATCTGTTTTATTGGGCTCCTGGAATAGGGAAACTCATTCTACTAATGAGAGGAAAGTGTGTATTTTCAAACATAAATCATCCACAACATAATCTATGTTCTGACAGAAATTTGCAGCCCTTTTCAAGTTGGAATATCATTTGTCTTCATCTCCTTCTAAGATGGCTCTAAGATTGCAGTGTTGGAGTAAGCATGAAGTGTAAAGGAATACTGAGCTCATTCTAGGATGTATTTTTTTGTGAAAGAGCCGGATATCTAACATTGAGAAAAAAGGATAAATTTGGTGAATGATGGTATAACGTTTTACATATTCTTCAGGCAAATAAAAAACTGCACAGCATTTGGATGTCATATGTATGACCCAGTGTGCCCAAGTGTATATACCATTTTACATTAATATTCTGCAGTTTCTTTTAGAATCATTTCAAAAGCAGAACTAATTTCTTTCAAAGTGCACCCTTGTGTGAATGTCATATTAAATATAAAATTTACTCTGCCCTGTGAATAGAAAATTAATACATTTACATACTGTAAGTAATGTTCCAAACACATTGTAGGCATATATGATTTTCAGTTTGTTTATCAGTAAATTACTGATATGAGAAGATTGCTTATATATAAATGAGGGGACTAAAATATCAGTAATTTAAATTAAAGTCAAAAGTGTACTCAACTGTATCAAAACCTGTGTCATATTACAGTTAAGGGACGAGTTTGACTCTGGAAAAGATGTTAAGCTAAATGAAGAACACAATCCTCATGACGTGGCCGCTCTGCTGAAAGAATTTTTTCGGGATCTACCGGAACCTTTGTTAACACGAGATTTGTATGCTTCTTTTGTAGCTGCAAGAAGTAAGTACACCAAATTTAGTAAAAAATCAGTTTAACTTACAGCTGTCAACCGTACTAGTAGATTTTTTTGTTTACTCTAAAATAAACACTGCTATGTGTATCTTTTTTTGAAAACATCAGCCCATACATTCAAGGTATTTTTCCTTAACTCCCAAAAATTACAGCAGCGAAATAAAACGTTGAATTCCATCAGCATTTTTACTAATATTTTCATTATTTTTTACCATTGCTCAGGGATAACAGACCGTCCGACTCAGTTAGAGGCCATGAGATGCCTAGTGTCATTGCTGCCTAGACCAAACAGGGACACACTGCTCAGACTGGTCAAGTTCTTATCCAAAGTTGCTCAACATTCCACAGATGCTGTTGATGAAAGTGGGCAGTTGGTGAGTACTGTTGCTATCACTGTTGTTGCTGTATATGTTCACTGAATAAATCAATGGTAAAATAAATATAGATTCTAGCAACAGGTCTCTTGTTGTTGTAAACCTCTTTTAAGTTAAAATATTTACTTTTTCTACAGTGTCTTTTGTATGTTTAGGTATGACTGTTATCAGCTTGTCTTGTTGCAGTATTTTGGTCAATAAGATACATATTTAACAATCATCCACTCTTTTATTTCCAGCTACCAGGGAATAAGATGGACTCCCTTAACTTAGCTATCTTGTTTGGACCAAACATTCTCCATAATGCTAAGAGTGGTTTATCAGAATTTCAAGTGGAGAGAACAGAGAGAGCGGAAGAGAGAGACGAGGTCAATCAGGTTGTCAAGGACATGATAGAGAACCATCAGGACATATTTGAGGTATGTTGAAGGACAGATTGCAAAGCTCTTGTTTACAGTGAGGTACATGTAGGTTTGGGACCCTGTAGGTTAGGGTTTTGGACCCTGGCAGGATCATACCAAAGGCTGGTTTCAGCTAGTAAAGGTACCTAGATTGTGTCTCCCCATTGGGGTTTAACACAGAGGGTAAAACAAAGGGTACAGGCAGTGTTGCCTTACTCTTGGCTTCTGTTTTTGGCAAGTTTGAAAGCCATGTGCAGCAGGTTAGTTGGTAACATCAGGAAATGAACCAAAATATACCCCTTAACTGGGAAACTGTGTTCAAAGTTAGGCAAAAGATACTGATGACTGGACAAAATCAATATATAGGGAGCAAATACAGGGTAGGATTCAATATTCCAATCCATTGTTAGGTGATTGTTTCTTAATTAGTGAAAAGCAAAACTGGTGAAATTATTGAACAAGAAAGATTTTGTTTAATATCAAGTATAAATCTTCTGCTGAGTTTTTTTTCAAGAATTTATGAAAAATATGGCTCAAGTGCCATTGGCATATAACCACAGAAAGCATCTTCAAAACAAGTAAAAAATGTATTTGCTGAAAAAAATTTGAACTTAGTAGACCACAAAAAATTGAGTTGAAATTTAATTGATTTTCAAGACACAGACAAAAAAATGGCATTATTACAATACATTGCTCTGTGCCAAGGTTCTCAAGTAAAAGAGGCCATGCACTCTAAGAACTAACAAGGATAACCTGGTGCAACCAAGAAATTGGCAAATTAAACAAACAGAAAAGAGCATCTCCTTGAGACACCCAAATTTGTAATATGAGTGGCCATTCCCACTCATCCATCATAATTGGCATTCAAACTTTCCACACTTTCATTGAACCCAGGGTTCATTTTCCCCAAATGTTTAGTCCTTGCGCTGATTAGAGAATGCTCAACATTAAGCATGACAAAAAGGCAAGGCAGCCATTTATATACCAGGGTCCATGTTACTAACAGGGTAATAAACAATGCAGTTTCCAGTGCCCTTTTCTCCAGTAGGTCTACCTTACATCTAGGCAGCTCACAGACAGCAGGCAGACATGTACATGTACCTGGTGAAATAGTGAAATGAACTTAGTAGACACCTAATACTAAAGGAACATCTCCAGAAATTCTTTCTTTCTTGGGTTGCTTGTTTTACATGCAATGTATGCAGACATCTGACGCAAGCTTAAATTGATATATTCTTATCATTTAGTCTAACAGTCAGAAAGTCTAGCTTTCTGACATGGATATATGTGTGTATGTGTATGTGTATGTGTGGTTGTGTGTGGGGGTTGGGGTGCTGGGGTGAGGGTGGGGGTGGGGGTGGGGGGGGCATTGAAGTCATTGAAGCCTCCCTCCATCAGAGATGAAAGTGGACCTTCTAGGAAAATCCAGAAAAAAAAAATGCTGTGTGAGAGTCGGGGGATGGGGCATAAATACAACACTGGATAAATCTGGGAGACTTTCATCTTAACTTTATTATATGTTCATATGGCTTAAAAGCATAATGTTCAAATAAGAAAAATCCAACTACATGCAAAACCTTCAATAAAATCCTTGATCTGACTGATGGTTCCCATATTACATCAGAATCACTTCTTAGTGTGACATTTTAAAGCTATATATTTGATAAGGATTGTAAAAAGAAATGCAACAGGCCTACATAATGGACTGCATCTTCGAAATATCCTACTGAATTATTTACTTATGGTGTTGATAACTGTCACTAAATTTTATTTGATTAGATTATTGTTATCCCTCCTAATAAATAAATAAATAAATAAATAAATAAATAAATAAATAAATAAATAAATGATATCTAATGCAAATTTTGGAAACTTGAAAATACAGCAAAATTTTTAAATCAAAATTTCCAAAAACATTACTGGCAGGTCTCAAGTAGGTGTGTAACCTGTTGATGGTGTATGTGCACAGTTTGCAGGCTTCATCTTCACACTATCAGTCACATCAAGGTAAATAACCTGCCTGGTTTATGAAGATAGAGCTAGCTTGGAGCACTTTATCTGACTTGCATCTCTGACAAGAATGAGAATTTGGCAGCATATCCAGACAGGGTTGCTCCTCTTTGGCTCCATACTGTTTATACACACTGAGAGATCCCTGGCCCCCGGTGTCAAAGAAGGGCACTATTAACACTTTGTGAAGATGGTGGGCAAAGGTTTTTTTGACACTGTGTGATGGATGTTTTTATTATGTTCTGCCATACCATGACATAACAATACACAAAGTTTCTGGTGCATGTTGTTTTTCTCTCTTTCCTTCTCTATGTCACATACCTGTACATACATGCATGCTCACATTCATGCGTGCACACACACACACACACATATTCATGGTACAGAGAGAGAATTCCAAAAGAAGTCTTAAACATGTTGTCCTAAGCATGTTGAGATCCACTGATAGTCTACATATGCATCTACACAACAGCATAAACATAAAAGCACAATCACGCAAGCGTACATGCACAAACACACTGTACATGCTAAAGCACAAACACATCCACACATGCATCAGGCAACCAATGATCAAATGTCCACATCTCCAAACACTTAAAGCTCCAGCCTAACTGTGTTCCAGTTGTAGGGACATCATGAACTATTGAAAGGAAAGTAGGATATCGGTTTCTTAATTAAGAATTATACAAAGCATCCCAAAAACTTTTAAGCACTTAATCTGCCTGTGTTATATACCCTGCACTCCAGTTCCTGGACAATTTGGTTTTCTGGATAAATATCACTAATGGAGAGTTATGACTTGAAGATTGGTTCATACAAAACCTGTCACTGACAACCCAAGCTTAAAACTATTGGGAAATCAGCTCTACATGCCACTATGTTGTTCCATATTGAATATTAAAGAAAAGACTATTTCTTGACAGAAGATATGGTCTGTATTCTGAAATTCTGGCCAAATCAACTTATCAATGATTCATTTCACAGGCTGTCCTCTGTACAAAAAATCACCAGATATAATCAGTCTAAATATAAAAGTAAAAATATAATCAGTTTAGATACAGCCAATGTGAATGGAGGACAGGACATCTACATTAAGCCATTCAGTACTGGACTTTACAAAGCAAAATGGCTGGTTGCTTGACTCTACCTAGACCCAATTCACACTGGAATCACCTGTGTCTGAATACACAAGTCAGTGGAAAATGGGTTTGAGGAAGAAGGGCAAGGGTATATGTATCTAAATAGACTTGCTGATATGGGTTAATACATGTGCAGCCAGTCTAAGGATTTAACCCTGACCTAAGTTGGTCAGGTTTTTTTTTTTTTTTTTTTTTTTTTTTTTTTTTTTTTTTTTTTGTGGGAACACACCTGTCTTTTCCTGGGAAGTAAGAATGGACCTGGGTTTTATTATGGTCAGACCACCATGAAGGAACACAGTCAACACACTTGTAGTTGCTCCCACTTATCACTCAACAAACCTACAAGACTGGAAAAAGAAAATAAATATCTTAGAGACTAAATTTTTTTGTTAACTTGAACACACTAGATCTATCTTCAAAGTATTTTGCCACTGAATTTTGTTACCGCATAGTGCGTCACTGTGTGAGAGATGATGCTGTTTATACAACTGTGGGCCCAGAAACTGAATAACTATGAGATGCCTCTCAATTCAACAAAACTAAATGAGGCAGAACATTATAAATGAAGTACTTAACGAGGCAATCCCAAGTATCAGCATAGTGGAAAATAAGTGCAAAAGTCACATGCACTGAAGTGTATGCTTCAATGTTGTCTTTGTAAAAGCAAAAAATAGTACACAAAATAAAAATGTTGCTCATATCAATCATTCATATAACTTGATTAAATACAGTTATAGATCTTGAAATCAATCAAAGCTACAATATTGTGCAAAATAATAATAATAATAATAATAATAATAATAATAATAATAATGAAATACTCACCTTGCTCAATTATTGCAACAAAATTGTTTTAAAAAACTGATGCCATATTTTCCCATTTTTAGGTTCCTGCAGAAATGTTGGATGAAGTGATGAAATTATTGACAGACATGGACCCAGAGGGAGTGGACTACCTGCTGCAAAGGAAAGCTGGAGAACAGTTTAGGTAACATAATAATATTTTGCATCTGCCTTTTCATGTTAATCCAATAGCATAATCACAATACTCTGAGCTTTGAACTACAACACTGACAGAAAGTGTGTGTGTGCGTGTGTGTGTGTGTGTGTGTTGTGGGGGGGGGGGGGGAGGTTGAAAAAGACTGTCTCCATGTCACCAAGGTAATAATAAAACCTTTTAAAATTTCCTCAAAAGGAAGCTTAAGGAAGATGCATCTGCCACTTTGTTTTACAGTTACTGTAATAACTTAAATTTTTGTCACACTTAAAAATTAATTAGTGTTTTTAAATGCCACATAAATCCCACATAGCCATATTAGTTGCTAAACTTTTCAAAATTATAGAGGCCCATTTTCAAATTTGATAAAATTTCAAAGTGAAAAAATATTACTTCATCGAAGAATCCTCTTCTGACAAAATTTATAGACTCTATTTTCAGGTTTTTGCTGTAGTCAAATACTTTATGGTCAAGCAATGTACTCTTTTTTGTACAGTCATTCAGGGGCCTTGATTACAGCAATGATAGTTATAGTGTTGTATCTGTTTTCATAAGTAACACCTTTTTTAAAAACATCTGCAATATTTTTCAGTTTTGAGCCAGAACAAGATACATCTGTCAGTGTGACAGACAGCGATACTTCGTCTCTTCCTCGACCCTCGAGAACAGACACCACAGAGTACACAACCCGCCCAAGAACTGTTCGAGAGGCCAAGGCTCTACAACAAAGCAGAAACAGAGATGCACAAGGCAGAGACAGAAGTAGTGAAACATATTTACAATCAAGTCAGACTGATCAACTGCACCTTCCTGCTGAATATTCCAACAGGAGAGGCAGCAGTGCAGACTCTAGAACAGGGAGAACAGAGGGCAGTGGTGCTGCATCTTCCAAAAGGTTACCAATAACTCGGGGAAAATCTGACAGTCAGATTGCCAAACAGGTCTCTATAAGGCCACCTAAACTGACTGTTTCCAAAGCAGACTCTCCTGAAGATCGTAAGCGCAAGGAGAGCAGGCTAAGTTACATGAGTACTTCCTCTGCAACAAATAGCCCCAGCACACCAGATAGCCTACGCTGGCTTTCAGATTCTCCCCCTAATAGTCCCATTCACACCCTTGAGCCACCAAAAGAAACTTATGGCAGAGGCTCTAGGAAGCATAGCCAAAGCCGGAGTCGTAGTGACAGTTGCTCAAGTAATCTTTCCACGGGCTCTTCTTCCTTACAACGCCCTCTGGCAATGGGAACAGGACCTGGGATGCCAGTTCCTGCACCAGGATCTGCAGAATGGCAAAAAGAAAGGTGGCGCCACTGGGAAATGTTGGCTAAAGACGGAAATGATGAACAAGAAACACTAGTGTAGTTTTTATCTAAGGGAGTAATCCCTCTGGAAACTGTGATCTGAAAGTGTTAAAAGCTGTTGTGTTGGAACGCAAATTAAAGGCAATACCTGTTGTATACATGCGCTGGTTCCATACAGAAGTAAACCATTTTGTTTGCCATGTATGCAATGCCCATAGGCAAAAATGTACGAATGTAATGGAATGAGTGTCAAATATTTTTGTTGGCAAAAATTACATTTTCACCGACTTGAAAATATTTTTTAAAGAAAGGCGAGAAGGGTGTAAGGGACTAGAGCATCAGTAACAGTGGAATTCCATGATTATTTTTATTAAGTCACAACTGAAGCCAACTTAAAAAATTATCACAATTCACACGTTTAGAAATTAGATACTAGAAAGCATTACATAATACTTAACGGTGGCAGAAATGACAACACCAAAGGATTGTAACTTTGACAGGCAGTAAACAGGTCTGCCAAAAAACAAGTTTTAATGTTCTCATTAAGCAAAAGATTGCACTAAAATTTATTTTCAAGAATGATAATGTGCATGCAAGTTTACAGCAATTATTTTGTGTCAAAATTTTGTATTTCCATTTTCATTTTACTTAGACTTGTATTGGGCACATGTTATGTGCAATGCCCTATATGAATTTTAAAACTGTCAGTTTAGTGGAAAAAGCAGGGAAGTTTGCACATCAGTCTGTCACTTAATATGTGGTCTACGACACGACTTAATGTTGTGAGGTCCTGTTACAGAGATTGCATAATATAGGCCTAGCAAAGCTACCTCTTTATTACCTGATATAAACACCCGATTTTTTCTCTACAACTTAGCCCATTTCAGTGTGAATGAAACATTCATGTAATCTTTATAAAAAATGACTCCCTGTAAAATTCTCATGATTGTGAGATATGCTCGCCTCATGTATAATTTTTTTGTATGCTCATGTTAGAGCCTTTAAAATATATTAAATTTCCAATACTGCATAAATTGTTTACTATTTCTAAATTATGTGCAAATTGTACAGTGGGTAATTTTGCAGCCAATGTGAACTTTCAAGGGAAGCTAATAGACACATTTTTTTTGCAATGTACATATTATTTTTTAAAATATCGACTTGATACAGACTCCATGTCACTGCAATAAATGCTCATTTAAATGTTTGATATTATTCAAACAATTTGTCTTTCATTTCAGTTACCTTTTACCCCCTCAAAAACAGGCATGAGATTTCATATCATCACAATATATTTATTTTGTTTTTTTTTTAACCAAAATGTTACATAATTGTTACATGATATCTTGCTCCAATCTCAAATTTTATAGTATGATCAAATCTTGTCTGGTAGCAGCAACTCAGATGCTTCCATCTTTATAAATGAAAACTTTACAAACCAGTAAGTCACTATAAACATTTTGACCTTTGCATTTTTTGGTTTCCAAAATACCTAACAAGTGAAACTAACCTCACTAAGGAAAAAAATATTAAATTACATGTTTCATGGCAGAAAAAGATTTTCATTGTTGAGCATTTTCTTAAAAATTTGACAGCATGATAAATGAACATGTTACCAAAGATCATTCAACTAAAACTTTCAGAATATCTACCTATTTACCTTCATTTTGGGTTTTTAACCATACCACCTTTAAATTACTTTTCTATTTATCCCACATATATACCATACAAAATGGGCAACAATTCAGTCTTGAAAGTTTGTCTAAGTACAGAAGTATTCTGTAAGTAAAATGTTGCATACATTAAAACTTTAAGAGACAATTTTCAATTTCCATACTTCAACCATTAAATTTGACCATATGAGATTGACAGTGATGGTGACTCTCATCCAACTTCAAAGTGTGATCCATTAAGTTCAGACTTGTAATTCACAAATACAAGTGTATAGGAAGCACAGAAGTGGGTCGTTCTTAAAGATTTTTGACACAGAAATGTTTGTTTTAACCATACAAAACTAATACTAAAAAAAAAAAATAATAATAAAAGTATAATTGTAGGACCATATTCCACATACCTAGAATATAACTAAAGTATTACTGAGTAATGTCTCCTTGTTCATTTTTAAAGTTCCTCAGACAAGAAGTATAAAAAAGAATGTAAAAGTTCTCAAACAGTCCCTCATGCATCATATCCTACAGCTTTCCTCAATAGAGATTACTTATCTCAGCAACATTCTTTTCTGCTGCATTCATAAAACTTTAAAGCTGGTCTAAGATGGCTCATCTTGGCTGGCCTCCATTTCATTCAGCCTTGACTTTGGCATCAATCTGCCAGGCCCCCATGGTGTACCTCATCCAGATCAGAAGTAAATCCTTGGCCATCTGTAACCAGCTCCAGAACGGAATGATTTTTGAACCTGATGACATTAAATAATTTTTATATTTTATTTAAGTGTTTCGCAATCCCAATAACTTGACATGAATTTTAGTGACAATGACATTTTCTTCTAACTTTAAAAAAATGTTATATATTAATAAAATACATGCACTTCAGTAAAACATAATTTCAAAACAAAGCACAGAGTGAGTGGTACACTAGTTCAACGAACGCACACCTTAGCAAAATGTGTATTGGTTATTTGTGTTCCTTTGGTTCTTGAAGACGAAACATACAATGGCTTAAAACTCAACACTGTAATTAGCAAATTACTTATTTTAATACATTTGAATGTACACACATGTGCCTGCATAGATATACACACCCATTCAAACATATCATTATAACCTTACCTTCTACTTCATGCCAGTTCACTGCAACTTCAGATATCTTCATATTCAATGAGTTAGCTATGTACAACATATCTACATCAAATGCCCTGAAAGAAATGGAGGCTACGGTAATAACTCCCATCTTTTCAATGGGGGGAAAATTGAGTTTTATAGATACTGTATTTTTAAGTCATAATTTCTTAAAATTAGAACACTCCTATTGAATGGTAGCAATAAAATTTAAAAGCAGTTAACTCTATAGTTCTATTCTATGAAGTAAAAGCACCACAAATTCTATATAGAAATATAATTTTTGTGATAATAGAATTATGTATCTGAATGTTTGATAATATTTGCCCAATGAAAAGATCCAGTAATTATCATACAATTACCAACAATACAGTCTTTCCAACTTTCAACATGAAAATTATTGCAAAAAAACAAAATGATAAACTATCCATCTTTCCATATGCAAATTTGTGAATATAACCACAGTTATTAACTTATCAAGTTCCAATGTTCACAGAAGTGAAGAAGACCACAGGTATGAACTTACCATCTTTCTACATGTAAATTAGTGAAAATTATCACAGCTGCTTGTCTTGTTAGGAGTTTGAACCCACATTGAGTATCTTTGATCCCCTTGACCAGAAACCACACCAAAATGTGGAAACCATACATCAAAATGGTGCGGAAAAATGATCTCTGAAAGAAAAAAAAATTATGTTATTACAATGGCACCTGATAAACACACCTTACAATACAAGTATACTATGTGAGATTTTTGGTTCTTAACATACAAAATTCTAATATCTTTATTTCAATTTGAAAAGAAAACAGAGATGTCTAAACCAGGTGCAACGAATTGGCTATATTGTTGTCTTAGCAATACTCATTACATACTGTAGCTACAGCTTCATCCTGAAGATGAGCTCTTGATCCACATACCACGGCCATTTCACTCTGAAAGTAACAACTCATATACATTTTTATGTTCATAATGTTTTTATACAGAGACATACTGCCTCTACCTTTGTATTGAAAGATATAATTATATACTTGTCCCAGTGGGGGAGATGTTATAATTTAATACACCTTATATCTTTTAACAAAGAATATATAATATTAAAATATTTCATTATGAACAAGCAACTGTTCATCCAGTGGCACAAAAGAATATTAAACAGTAACAGTATTCTAGCATACAGCTATCAAAAGCTACTCATAATACTTTCAATCTTGCAAAAGTATCAATAATACACAAACACTTAAAGAAAGAACATGAAAAAAATGCATCTATTACTTTCATATTCTAAATATCAATAGTCAGACAGATGTAAATTTTTTATTGTTTACTTACCCCATCTTTGGTTAAAGAATTGATAGAATTTTCTAATTTTTCTAAATCGCTAAATTTGGTTGCTGCATCAGCATCTGCAAACAAAAGGTGTTTGCCTCTTGCTCTGAGCATACCCTGGAATCAAATACATTCAGTTCAACATTTCCGTTAATGAAAAAGATAAAAGAAAGAATGCCTCCTTAGGAAATTTCTTCACAAAAAAGTAACAATTTAATAAAACAAAGCCATTAGTATTTGGCAATTATAATATCTAAATGGAACAGTGTTTGACCTTTTTACTATATCGCAACTGGTTTATGGTATGAAAAAATATTCTAGAATGTACTAGCTTACCAAACGTATTGCACCTCCTTTACCTCGGTTTTTGGCCAGAGTTAAAACTCTTAGTTTTTCAGTTCCATTTCTTGCACAATATCCCATGGCAACCTAACAGAAAGAGATCATTATAATGAAACACCGCACAAGAACTCTTATTACAGCACAACAAGCCAATAAATAAATAAATAAATAAATAAAGACACACTATGTATGTACAATATTGCTACTTCTGAAGTAACAAAAATGAATAAGAAAGGAGTGGACAATCTCCCCCCCCCCCCCCCCCCCCCAAAGTAGTACATAACAGAAAATACATGATAGTACTGAAACAAATTGGTGTATTGACTATTTAGATTTGCTGAAATTTTATAAATTATATCTTCAATAGGCAATCACTTACCTCTGTTGTTTTATCAGAACTTCCATCATCCACCACTATGATTTCATATTTAAATGAAGGTTTGGTTTGCTGTAAAAAATAAAAAATAAAATGTATACTATTATGTAAAAAAACTTAAAGCATAATAACTATGAATTTGTACTGCTTTGAATAATGAGTTAAAATCCAAGTATTCTTCTCATGAAAAATTATGTATTTCTATGTAAAAACTCCTTTAAATGAAAGTTATGTTTATCATTCTCACCATAATGATTCATACCTGCCTTTTGCCTAAAAATTCAAGGGTCTCATCTAGCATAACTGGTACTGAGGAAAGACCAAAATGAGAAAACGATAAGAGAATGAACTATTAACTAATAAAATGAGAGAATAGACCTTAACCATGATTGTGGAAATAAGAGTCAATTTTCTGCATGTATAAAGAGTTCTTACTGATGTTCATTATTGATTGTACTTATGATTAATGTAATAAATTAATATGACTCATGACAGAATATTGTAATTAAATTATACTTCAATATCTAAAATGGTACAGAAGACGCCCTTATAATTATATAAAATATAACACAAAGATTTATCAAATTTATATACAGTTACATAAGTGTCTATGTTGTTCCCTTTTTATTCCAAAAACAATATAAATCATCAATATATTAAATTTATAATTAGTAAATGCAATGCAAATTATCACCATAACAATTATAAATTATATACTAGTAGATAAATTTCCATTTATATATGATTGAAATGCCTATCAACTGTAGGAAGAGATGCTGCTTATTTGCAACAACAAGAACTGTTTTTTGATATTATATTAAGAACAGTGATGCCTTTTACTTTGTTCTACTTACACCTTTCCTCTTCATTGTAAGCAGGCACTATAACTGAAAGGTCAACACTGGCAGGATCGTGTATGCTAGGAAAGAGCACCTTACTGTCATCTTTTTTAGGATCCAGAAAATATTTTTCACTCTCATAATGCTGCACCTTTGCCATTGGAATGCTTGTCACATAGATCACAACAGAGGCCTAGAATAACATATATAAATATTAACTAAAAATCCTTACAAAAGTTCGCAGACAATCTAACAAATAATCTAACATATTTCTATGCTTCTCTTTAAAATGTAAATGGGTTATAAAGTGAATATTTGATTCGACCCATTATGTCAATTATATTCAAACAAAATATTACTAAGTAATAGTATAAGCCTAAGGCAAACAATTTCATCATGCGATTTTTATTTTGTTTAGATAATTTAGTCGTTAATTAAGCAAGTCTTAGATACTGCAATTAGCCTCTAAACTGTTAGCAATGAGCATGGCCAAAACATTACCATATAAAATAAATCTTACCACAGAGAAAACAACTATGGCGAGAAGCAGAAGCACAGCAAATAATTGCCACAAGTCCATAATCTTTATTCCATTGCCACACAAACGGAACTGGAAATGTGAGTTTTGAGCATGCGTGAAGTCCCATTTTTATAACTAGGCCAACATTTGTAAAGAGCTGGCTGGAGCGTGGAGATGTTATCCTGTCAGACTAAAACATGGTCGCCACATGACAAATTCACCTTTCTAGTTTAATCTGCAAATCTATGCCTTATTTACATCAATTTCTAACTGGTGTTATAATTGAAACGCCATGTGAAAATTATTAGAAGTGATACGAAGCTCACGTTTTCCTTGAATCAATTATAACCAATTTTATAGTGCATGTAATAGGCACAATTAAGTCTACCCGGAAAAAGCTAGGACTTTGGTCTGTACAATTTATTTTCAGGAAAAATTCATGATTAAATTTAAATAAGATATTAGTTTCGATAAATAACGATATGCATATAATTTTCTCTCGAAATTCTACTGAAAGTAGTACTTATTTAGGATGTTGAAATATGCAAATTGTTTTTAGCCTGAGATGACATATGACGGCCATCTTTTAGCTTGTCGTGACATATCTCCAGCTCCCAGACGCAAAATAGGAAATTCTAAGTTTTGCAACAAAGTAAAACGGTTGAATTTTATGTATATTTTTACAAATACACATTATGAAAAGCTAACACACCTTGTTGAATGTACATTGCAAATTTCCACCAATATTTGGGTCATCTTTGAGTCCCTCTGCAGAGCTGAGGTTGACCTAATTCGGGCTTTAAAACGTCACCGCTCAAACATTTGTTTAAGGGCCCATGTTTCAGGTGTTTGTGAGTTTGTAGCCACAGATCCACAACGAAAAGTAAGTATCAGACTCATGTACACATGTCCAGGAAGGAATCAAACGTCTGATTGCGATTCTCTTATAAGATAAAATTAAATAGGTCTACTTCAAACACCTGTCTGGCACCCTGAGTTCCCTGGTCAAAGTAGACTAGTACATGTATAAAATAATTGCAAGTGATAAGGCTATATCTATATAAATACTAGTGATATATAATCTCTTTCGAGTGGCTGCAGGCAATTAAAATTTAGCACTAATATTTACGTTATTTTGTATGAAATTCTAGTGAAAAGGAAAATAATGCTCTAATGAAACAAATAAAGTTGGAAAATTAGAATGAAAGCTAATCCAGTCAAATACTGGTATGTTGACTTGTTATTTTAAATGTATCATTTGTACATTTTTACAGTATTACTAGTAAGAGCTCCAGACCAAATGAAAATTTTATATGGTGATAATTCCTTAAATGTTCAGAAATACAAAATAATAATTATAATTGTAATAATAATAATAAAGAAAGAAGTCAAATAAAGAGATAAGTGAGGCCAAGGGGAAAAGTTGTTCATTTAAATGTCAAATATCTTGAATGGAAAGAGATATATTTTTTCAATATTTTTCCTCTGCGTGCAGTACATGCAATATTTATTTTAATTTTTAAAAAATTTTTGATCTCTATGCCCTACATGTTTAAGAAAAATACGTATCTTACGCAAAATTTAACTTTGGTAAATAACATATTTTGACATTTCATGGTAATTACTTGAGATATTGGAACTTGCAGTGATTTACTCAACTCATGCTGTGCTTCCATTGTGATTGTGTATTACATACTAAATTGGAATAAAGGTCATACCAAGCGTAATAAGACTTGATAATTAGGGTCGTGATTACTTTGAAACTGCAATATGAACATCCCATGGTTACATTTCTTTTATTACAAGTACATTTCTTCTGATATAATCAGTTTTGTAGAAGTTTCTGAAGACAATAGATTTAAGTTAGGATCCCTTTTTTGTCAATGTATGGGCAGTAGAATGTGAATGGAGACAGGTTTGATTAAAGATAATTTAAGTCAACAAACAGTCATAAATAATGTAATTCCAATCAGTTAACATGTTTTTCAGTTGACTATAGTATGAACGGAACTTAAGTAGAATATATAGAAATATATACATTACATGTATGCTTGGGAGGAAATGTTTGACTGTTTGTAACTTTGATATTTGCAAAATATCCTTCCAAAATGAGTCATTTTAAAAATATATATATACTAAGAAGTAGTATATGAATGCACAGTTTATTTACAATTAATGCTGAAAATGCTATCAGTGGTCCCTTCACAGTGCTAAACTGTAATTATCCAACTTTCATACATGAAGCGAAAAAAACATTTTTTAAAAATCTCAACTAGTTCTTTAGCATATCATAAAGGCCTCTATGCTGATGTTACATATACATGTACTTTATCAAGTCTTATATAAAATGAGATCATATAAAATAGTATTATTGTGCTTGTTTTCTATTGAAGGACTCGTTATATTGCTCAGAAACAAAGGTCATGCTTCATAGCTGTGTAAATTAACACCAGGTGTATACTAGCATTTCTGTAGATTTCTTTTTAATGCTGATGAACTGCTAGTATTGATAGGTAAGGAAGCTACCTCAAATCTACCAGTGTCGTTTATGTAATCACAATTGCTTTTTTTTCCTTACAGAAATAAATTTGGATTTTTTATGATAAAAAATATATAAGTTTTGAAAATGATCTTAGTGAGCAAAGCTTCCAGTCACGATTGCATTTACAGTAGTGGCATGGGATATATCTCCAGGGTATTGGATGATTGAAGTTTTGCCTGTTGGTATTTTCTTAACCGCTACCATTACTTAGCACAGGTCTTTTTGTTTCCTCAGCAGTTACATTCAGTGTGTATTAGACTTGCCCATCTTAAAAAAAGAAGGGTCCCTTATGAATATCTCCATTATGTTGGAGTGTTTAATGGAAGTTGAAGATAGATGAAGGATCTTGATCAGTTATACACTTACTTATTTGCCTAATAACCATTTTACTACTTTTTTTATTCCAATGTTATTTTTTCCTCCAGAAATTGGCCTCTTCATACATATCACCAATGGCAGCTAACGCGACAACTCGGCCATCAGAAGAAGATTTTAAGCTGTTAAAGGAGAGATGTCAGGTAGGGTGAAATATAATATAATGTTGTTTTTTCTCTGGAAGATGTATCAAGTAAATAAGAGTAAAGAAAATATCTTAGAACAAGTGAAGGATAAAATAAGGTGAAGAAAAGAAAAGATGTAAATGCATGTATGACTATAAGTGAATTAGTTTACAAGATTGTGTGAGGGTGGGTTGGGGCTTACATTAAAGTTTTTGCATGTATTTTTATTATCTCTAAAGAACAGTTTTCATTTTGTCTTTTTTTTTTCATAATTTTAAAGACTAAGATAAAGGCTGCTTCAAGATATATAAAAGTGAACATCAGCATTAATATTTACAGAAGCAAGCACAGGGTTCACACATTATCATACCACCAGATGACATACTGCTTTTAGATAATTCATATAATATATAAACAAGATCCATTTGAGATGGATATTGTTGACACTTCTTACGCTTTGTCTGACATGGAAATACTGGTGTAGAAAGGATGTGAAGTATAAAATAAGGTAAAAAAAGAAAGAATTGCCATGACCCAATGAACTCCAAACAAGGCAGAAAAGCTGTCAAACGTACAGGTGTATGGCAGAAATTTCAATTTGGATGCAATACTATATAATAATATTAAGGCATAATCACTATCAGTTTTAATTGCATTAATGATGGCAGTGTACAAACTAAAGGGTTTCATTCAATTTTGACAAACTATGTCTGTACATAGATTAAGGAAGAAATAAAACTGATGTGGAATAATTTATTGTATACTTTCAGTATCATTTTCTTTTTTTCATATTTAATCAAAGTTTTACTGAGAGCTAAGCCCAGATAAACTCATGATAAACGGAAATATGCTCAGTTGGGTTTCTGATTTCTTTTTGGGGAAGCTGCTGTTTATCAGATTAACTAGAAGAAAAGTTTGCTTACTTTATTGATTTTTTTCCTCATGAAGCATGTTGTAGTGCAGACCAGGGCATCATTAAGTGATCACAAGCAGATTAACTCTAGTTAAGATAACATGTACACACATGTATGGAATATATGGCATGCTCACCAGCATCATACATTCACATTTGTATAGATCTACTTGTAAAAATGTATTTGCACTAGTATTAAAATTGAACATATTTGATGTAGAATGGCCCATTCATCCATGCTGATAAAAATTGTTGTCAAGTCTGATAATTAAATTCCAAACTTTTATATTGACCATGTGTGTATTTATTCACTATTCTTCTTATTATTTTATAATAGTTAAAGAAAAACTTAATTTCCATTTCAGATGATCTTTGATGCTGACCCCTCTCAGGTAAGAGTGTGTTGATCAACTTTGAGGAACCTGAAGTACAGAATAACACAAGAGCTAATGGAGGGAAAATGAAAATCTTTTCTCTAAATGATAACTTGAAATTCACTTAAATATTGGATAAGCACAGCTAGGGTACTGTAGTCTATAATATGACACTTACATTGTGTACAACCTTTGCTTATCATTATATTGAAAGCATTGTGACATAATTAAACAATGGAATTAAATGTCAACAATGAGAAGAATGGCCCCAGAGGATCAGATTTTTCCATACTATTATTCGCTGTCTTAAAATAGCCTTAAATTAAATGTCACAGATAGTCAGATGCCACTGAGATGCCTATTCATGCACACTTCAAACTCAGAGGCTGTGTTGACAATTTGTATACTATAGTAGTAGCTGATACTGAAAATATGGACCTTTGCTATTAATTGTGTATTTGAAAATCCATATCTCACTGAGCAGTCTGTGTAGGTCAGGTAGACTTCCTGTGTATTTTTGGTCAAAGTAATTTGTAAATGCAGCTAAGATGTGTCTCAGCCATAAGTATATATAGAAGGCATTTCTGTGACTGGGACATAATTATTGTTTGAATAGAGTGATATTGGTTCAGTCCCTGCATGGGTCGATGTCTTTCTTGTGCAAGTTGGACAGATTGATTATGTTTGATTAAGTGAGGAAGTATATTGTACTGCACTTTTCAAGCATCCCTGGTGTATGTTTAATTAAGACCTAAATGATAAATGACTTGAGGAGCAAGAGCATCTTCAGAGCATCTTGAAATGTGATGTTGGTTTTTGCATGGGCAATGTCAACTACAAGCACTAGCACTAATACTAGCTATTATTCATTACGTAGGATTTCCCCAATAGTTCAGTATATATTATTTTTATGCTTTTAATGACTTTTAAGTTAATAAAACAATTGAAGGTGAAAAAAGAAAGTCCCATAAATGCTAGATATCTTTCCCACTTAACTTTTGTAGAAACAATTATTGAATAACCTAAACAAAGATTGATCTAGTGTTAAGGCACACAGTGACATTTATAGGGATTAGATTTTTCTGACCATCGATGGATTTCCAACTTTTTGGAGGCCAAAATTATCATTGGCCTAAGCGGCCCCCAGGACCCTACCCCATATTTTCCTACTTTTTAGCTAAATGGCAGTCTTGTCCCTGCATTATACATGCATTATACAAATGTCAAGATCCTTCAGGCTAGGGAAAAACTTTACTAAAAATATTCTTCCAGTATATTGGCAATTTCATTTGCACAGCATTTATATGCAACAATGATATTTTGGATTAAGTGCAAGAAATTAAAACAAATGAATGTGTGAGTCTTGATAGATTGCAATAGAAATTTCTATTACCAAAACTTGCTTGATGATATATTATTAAATAAATGTAGCACACAAACCGAGATATATTTGACATCTGAGTAAAATTTATGTTTAGGGCACTAAAATACTGCATTCTCCTAAAAGAAATCTCTGAATGAAAGTATTTCAATATTTCAGTATCACAACGATGCATCCCTGCACAGGTTTCACAAGGCATTCCTGGGGGTTGACGAGACCTTTCAAGCAGTACTTAAGTGTAACAAATGGCGAAGAGAGTTTGGAGTGGCCAACTTGTCCCCAGAAGATCCTGACATTTTAGAAGAATTACAGACCATGAAGGCATTAATATTATCGCGCAGGGATGCTCGTGAAAGGTACTTTTGTATGCAAGGATTGCCATTGAACTCACTGTGTACATGCTTACATTCAAATGTTCAAGATGAGATAACATCTTAAGTGCCAAATGCAGTACTATAACTATAATGTCATAATTTGTGTTTAATCTCTTTCGCTGATGTGAATTCTTAATATTTTGGTTTCTTGTTTTGATGGTTGCAAAAATAGCCTGCACCACTTTGATAAAATTACTTGCCAGCTGTCAATTCAACAATGTGATGCAAACTCAAACTGGCTAGTGAATGGTACATTTTTTTTATATTTGATACATTAAGTTTCCATCATGACAGACCGTACAAAGCTGCCATTCAGTCAGTCACATGAAATCAAACAGCTAATTGGACCCACTTTTGTCTTTGTCAATACAGTGCCAGTTCTGTTGTTTACAACAAATTTATATTATACCTATTGTTTCTATGCCTTTCTCCATTACTTTCCTTCTGTATTGGTAAGGCTTTCATTTTTTCAGACCAATCATCTATATAGCTGTCAAGAAGCACAATGCAAATGACAGAGACTTGGACAAACTAACCAAGTTTATAGTATATTTATTGGTAAGTACCTTAAAAAGTGTGAAGCGTTTTTTTATTTTTTAAATCAGTCATGGGGATCTTCTGCCATTTAACATTCAGGATATCTGTGCAGATCTTACAGGCTTGTAGCAGGGAATTTCAAAGGTTTTTTTCTGAATAAGTGGAACTTTTACCATTAAATGTTCAAGTACCTATTTCAAATTTTACTGAAAGCAGACCTTCTCCTGGCAAAAATGGCGATTTCTATGACACCCCCCCTGAACCCCCCTTAGACTATGGGCCAGTCCTATATGTCAAAGTGGCAATGGTGTGGTATAAATCTTTTTTCTGTTTTCATTGGAATTCCTGCTCGTAACCATGCTTTATATAGAACCTTCTGTATATTTTTCTGTGATTTATAAAGTGCCCAGACAAATTATTCATTAATATGAAGGTGTTGTTACCCTGGTTAATCATCATCTTATTATTCCACAACTGTTAACTGTTTTCAAACTTAAATTTTGATAAATAGAATTACTTTATTGTATTGTATTGTATTGTATTGTATTGTATTGTATTGTATTGTATTGTATTGTATTGTATTGTATTGTATTGTATTGTATTGCTTAGCTTTGTTGTATTGTATTGTATTGCATTGCATTATTTCATTATTTCAGCTGCATATATAAAGCACTTAATAATTAACAGATATTTCATTTATAGGAAACTGTTATGGTTTATTTTACAGGAAACAGCATGCAGAAAGTGCAATGAAGAAATCATAGACAACATTTGTGTGGTATTTGACATGAAGGACTTCACAATGCAGTGTATGGACTATCAGTTTGTGAAAACATTAATATGGCTGCTTAGCAAGTACTTCCCAGAGAGGCTTGGTGTTTGTTTGATCATCAATGCCCCTATGTTGTTTTATGGATGCTGGACAGTAATTCAACCATGGTTTGTTACCATTTTATATATATAAATTGTGCATATCACACTCGATTCCTTAACAGGGTGTTTAAAAAGTTCTATTATAAATAGGTGTTGGTTGCTTTTATATCTGGCCTTGTTAACATGCACATTTCTCATCAATAAGTGCATCACCCTTGTCTTGACAACAACAACAAAAAAAGGATATTTGGGTGACCCCAAGAATTATCAGTATATATAATTTGTAAAAAGTGATTTACATTGCATTCTCTTTGAAGTTAAAAAAGAAAAGAAAAGAAAAGAAAAAAAAAAAACATTTTGAAGTAGTATGTATTATCAAAATCTACAGGATGTTCAGTTTTTAGTCAGAGTGACTACAAAAGTGTAATGGCCACATATCTTTGCAGGTTAAATGAGAAGACTGCCAGTAAAGTTGTGTTTGTAAACGATGACCAAGCTTTGAGTGAATACCTGTGTCCAGATGCACTTCCTCATGACCTATGACCACACTGAACATGAGAGAAGCTTGTTTCCGATCCTTGTTTACTATGAAGCCTCAGATCAAGTTTATTTAGATGCCCCAGCAGACAGCTAGGTGACATGATGGACCACAAGAATCTGAAACTCAGGGGGATTATTGAATCTACAGGATGCTGGTCTGCTTTGTGATCTATATTGCAGACTTGTATAAATGCAATAATGATTGTTTAGATCAAAAACAGCAGTTTTTTTTCATATTTTCGGATTAAACGTTGATGTCATACTAAATTTGAATTTATGTATGGAATGTGATAGAAGTAGATTATTACAGTTTTATTTCATATATTATACAATTAGTTGGAGGTAGGTAGTATCACAGGTTTCTACAAGTAGAACTTTATTATAATTTTTTTATCCAATTTTTTAGACATTGCAACTTAATTGTTAAATTGTCCAGTTTTGTTGACATCGACAGTTGATGCATTTTGTGTGCAATTGTTTTTTATTAGATCCACAATGTGATCTGTGTAAATCCTAGTATACATTAACAAAGTAATTGCATTTGTTTTAGTATTTTATCATCAGCCAACAACTGTAATGTAGGCATTGACAGGTTTTACTTTGTCAAGCATTCAATTTGTTATTTACTAAGCTCTGAATGTGTACATATTGTTACTTAGAGCCACAAGTACAAGAACATATAAGCACAGCAAAGTTGACACATTATATGATGCCAAATAAAATTATTATAAAATGTAGTATATAAAGCTTATAATAATTGCGTTATACGATGTCCTTGAAAGCTAAACTGTTGTTATGATGACATTTTACTGGTACCAGTAGTTGATCTCATCCCCCCAACTTATAAGATCTGAATGTTTGACAGAGAACTTTAGGCAGTGTACCACAGACTAGTTTGCACTGATGACACTAGATGGCATAGGTGCTTTCTTTTGGGAAGTGTTTAATATCAGTCTACCATATCAGGTGGATATATAGATCATTTGCCTTAAGAGTAGTTAGAACCATCATGTGGAAGGTACCCGCTACCAAGAATCTACAGCTGCCTGATATTGTAGACAGGGGGCAGCACATTCTTTAGTTCACAAGACACTAGGTGGGGTTGGTGTCAAAAGTTCTTGGTAGATTGTCAAAAGCTTTCTGTCAAGCTCTTGTATTTGAAAAGTTAAGTATCACTTAAATGATTCATTCAATACATTATACATGTTGTGTAGATGTACCATTGTTACAGTATATTACATTTTTGAGAGGATTTAGATTTTGACGAAAATGTTCCAAACTGGATTAGAAAATTAAGAAGTACAGTGTGTGTGCCATGTACCTGTGTTGTGTTTATTTCATAATTATTTAAGTATTGATTAAATAGCAATTCAATATGTTGAGAAAATATCATCTTAGTGTGAGTATTGGTTTACATGGTCAGATTGGTTTCTGGAGCAAGTCATTCCTCTGAAATCTGGATGACAGCGTTGTTGTATCTTCTGATTGTATCTCAGAGGACGTAGGCATTCAGCTATTAAATTACATAATAAAATAATTATTGGCCTTGGCTGAGGTAAGTTTGCCATTTTGCGAAGCTCATAAAAGCATTATTGATATCACTTTTCTGAGGTCTGCAAAACAACATAACAACTTTCAAATTGGTCAGTAATTGAGTGTATAGTATTCCATATAACTATTTGACTTGCAGTTTATCTGTTTCATACCCATAAGTGGAGAAAACTTTTATGAAGTCAGAGCTGCATCTGTATTGTACAATACCCCAAGTGTTGATCATACATTGGGAAAGAAACTCAATGTAAGCATTCTGGTATTTATTTTCATCAACTACTATTTTCTCCATTTGGGCTGTCTTTTCTCATGGACATGCACTGAAAAGAATTTTATTATTAATTACAAGTAACTCACAAGATCTCACTTGAATCTCTTTCAATGTAAATCCTATCTCTATTTTGATAGCCCTTCCACTTGGGCCTAAAAAGCTTAGTTTATTTGTAGAACAGTTTCATTAGCTATGTTATTGTAATAGACTTGTGAAGATTCTTTTTGTCTATAGCTACTTATATTAGTCTGATCTTACCATCCAATATTTCATCTGCTTATATATACTATCATGACTAATATAAGTAGCTATAGACAAAAGAATCTTCACAAGTCTATTGGTTTATTTGCATTTTAATATTAAATTGAATTATGAATGTGTTCAATCTATTTTTATCTCTGTGACATTCTTTTATCTACGTGTTATACACTAAAAGGTTTTAGATATTAGATAACCTAAAATTTATTGAAGTAAAATATTTAATAATTTTTTCGTTTTAAAGATTGTTTAATGGGTGGATTAAAAAAAATCTATTCAGAGTAATTTTGCTTATTGGTAGTTGACAGTTAATTTTCTTTTAGTTTATCAGTGCACTAATTTTTCATTCAGTTGACTAGTTTGGGTTTCTGTTTAGCACTAACACTGAATAAATTCATTTCAATTTTTGTCTTTTTTAGTAGTATTTCTCCCAATGGATATAGGAAAACTAGCCTAGAAATAGCATTCCTTGCACCAAAACTTTTACAACTCGATAAATTTCAACAAATAAAATGTAAGCAACTAGGCTTAATATTCAGGCAAGCTACTGCTTTACTGAAAACAAGCTTACAGTTCAGCTTCAGTAACATTTTATTCAGTACAGTTTGAGAAAAGATCACAATCATATGATTCTATATACCAGTTACAGAGTATGAAAAAAGAAATACGAGTTTCATAAGCTACGCAAAACATACTAAGCCATTTAAGACATCCTTTCCAGTTGGCATTCAGACATAGATGAAAGAAAAAAAATCGGAATAAAGCACAATACAAAATATTTCAGAAAATGAAATGATCTCCTTAATCAATTGAATAGCATCACAAGTTGATGTCAGACCAGACAAAGCGACTTGATCACCTGAATGAGTATTTTCACAACTTTGAGGTCATTTGCACTTAACAGAAAAGCATACAGCCAGCACCAACATGCTTCTATCAATACCTTACATATATGAATATGGTCAAAATCAAGTCACAGTTGATTAAGGTCTTCATGCACCCAGAACTTGGAGACCTGCTTGTCAATTAATTTCAAGGAGATCGAGGAACCCACAATGGAATAGAACAATATCAAGACTGTTTTACTTGCAGAGGAAGAACCAAGGAGCTCATTTGTATCAAAATGTCCACTTACATGAGAAGTAAATATAATTTCTATGGCTTCCGTTCCAACCACTTTTGGACAACTTTCTTATTGTTGATACAATTTTTGTTACTATGTTCATATACAATATTGCACCCAGATCATTATTTATTTCATGACAAACCTGCAAATGGCTGGCCTGACAAACAAAGGAACCCTTATAATTAGTTCTAATAAAGGCATGCAAAAAATAAAGGAAAACAATTACAATAGTTAAAAAATTTTTTCAAAAAAATGTCCATAACCCACTTGGTCCACATTGCACCCTTTGTGTAAGGTCGACTCCTCTCTATCAGTATAAATCTCACTGTGGGTAGAAGAATCAACATACATCACTCTGATACCCAGGGTGTCTTAGGGCTCATTCCCAGTAACACTGTTGGTCTACGTAGATCAACCTAGCTCCACAGGGACTCTTACTGGATGTAATCAGGTTAAAAGATTACCACGCCACACGTAGGCAGATAATTACATTGGAAATAAGCCCTTAGTGTAGCTCTGTGCTTGTTCTTCTACAGTTATTTCATAAATGAACTCACTTCTTAATTTCAAGTATACAAATGCACTGAAAATAGCGAACGGTATTTTTTTGTTTCTAATATTGGTACTGCTTTACCCTATTTTTCACATAATATATGTATGTATGAACTGTTAATGAAGTATTATTAAACCATTATTGATATCCTTTTTTGTATATTATATCACTCTTAATCCACACTGACGTGTTTTGATGGATGATAGTTTTGTTCTGCTTAACAGTATGGTTTACAAAAAAGGGTGTACAATTGCCAGACCTGAAAACTGAAATTTGTTCAAACACCCCAATGCATTAAAAAAAATTGCCTGCTGATCTCAATGAGACTGTTTCATTCTAATCTACACTAACTCAACACTTGTGTACCAGTGTCTGCGTCCTCCAGTTAAATTTTAGTCACTGTGAGACAGGCATGTTATTGGAGACCACAGAATCCAGACTGATACTTCACAAACTATTCTTTATGGTACTCTGTATGCATTGATGTTGCATATGCCATACTTTATGTACTGAAACTAAATAACTAGCCCAGCTACAAATACAGAACTACATCTCCCACCGTTGGCACCATATGCACAAGTGTTTCCCCATTCTTGTAAAATCACAGAAATATGGGCTGCAATACAACATGCTAACACAGACCAATTTCATTCGAGCCAGAACCAAAGATGCAAATAATTGATAATCAAATAGTGCAGCCCAGTCTTAAGGTAAAGGAGACCTCTTAATCATGCTTACAATACATCACTTGTAATTGTAAGAACTTTTTATAGTGGCACACACATAAATAAATGTTAAGATTCACATCTTTCATTTATGACAATTCTAAAAATATCAGCCAAAGTAATAAATTTAAAATTAAAATTTTACTGGCATCTCTCTCTACTTGCCACTGTACTTGCTTTAGATATTGGAGTTGTGGCTTCACACAAACACAGTGAACTACACTTTAACAAAGACTATACATCTACCAAGATGCACGCAATTTGTGGCATAAAGTTCCCCATTACTTACCTCTTCATACAAAATGTACATATCCAATATAATATCAAACATTTCAAAGTTACCACAATTCAATATCATAGTATTACAACACAGGGATACCCATGGCATCAAAGTCTAATGATTACGAGTGCAATGTATAAATTGATAGTAAACCAAACATTTACCAAAGACCATTACTATATGTCACTTAAAAGGTAACAGTGTGGTGTTAACATTAAAATAAAAATTGTCCCTTAAATTAATTTTGTGCCTATTCTATTGTTCTATGTTGTACCTGATACGTGAACATTACAGATTGTACAGTTACTGTAATGTTATACTGTTTGATGAGATTGTCTGTGTACTTAGTAGTGACAATGACAATATGTTCCTACCACACAGTATCTAAGCATACTATTGCAGACATGAGCCTGGTTTTTTTTTTTTTTAATTATCCTAATCTGCTGGGGGCCTGGTGTTGCCTAAGATCTCATTTGAATTTCATGAAAAATCTCGAAATCCCGTGGAAAAATTACATCTGAGGTTCGAGCACAAAATCATCAGAAGACCCTCCATGTGAGGCATAATCACATTTTGTTCAACCAACTGACCAGAGCAACTAGATTGTCTTTATGAACATAAATAATTTTAATCCAAAAAATTTCATTCCTAATTTGTGAATAATAATTGTGATACTCACAAAATGGAACCATGCTTCACTGCTATATGAGCCATTTAATATGCCTTTTTCAGGGATGAGACCCACCAATGCCACCCAAAAAAAAAGCCAAAATTTCCCGACATTCGAAAGATCTCATCCCTTTCATGACGTAATCCCTTTCTTTTTCAGTACTGACTATGGTGGAATTAAAGGCAAATCAGTTTTTACAGGAAGAATACATCTGATGACTCATTGTGCTGCATACCTGCTTTAAACATTATCTGCATGATGTAATGTGCAATCTCAATGCTTTGTGTGCTCTTCAGATGAGAAAAACATCTCGACTTTTTCTAGCCAAGTACATTTTAGCCAAATACTTCACATTTTACAAACAAGCTAAGGTAAATGTAAAATATTTCACCAAATGGTTAAAATTTTCCAAAAAGCTATGGAAATCTATCTTTTCTACACACACCTTCTTTGGCAAAATGTAACTTTGTTGTAGTGAAGCCTGGAGGATGCTTACAAATTCTGAACAAATACATCAACAGAACTACCAAACATTACAACAACAGCCATTGCAATATTATTCCATGGATGGTATTACTGTCACTGGCATTTGTTCCCAGTTCCACAGCAACCCACAGAGTTGATTTCACTTTAAAAAATATGATTACCACAATGGTACTCAATACTTGTATGTTGTTGTAATCTGAAGAAAATTCCAGTTTCTACCTCTGCAATGCCAGCAGACCTTCAAGATTCATGCTATTCTACATGTTTAAATATATGTATATATAATAATGCAAGGTGCTCACTATATCACATACAAGTAGCATTTTTTATGTTCTCCAACCCTCCACTGTAGTTTTCACCCTGAACACTTTGTAATGCCCCTTCTCATGATAGTAATGCCCATTTCCATGAAACTAATGTCTTGCCACTAGACTATGTCAAAATGACCAATTATACCACAAGCCAGAGTCACTTCATCCTCAAACCCACCATGGCCATGTGTGTACAAGTAGCCTTCAGTTACAATCAAATTATATAATGGCTCAAGCAACGATGTTCATGTAGTGAAAAAGATAATGACACCACTCCGCTGCCACCCAAGTCATGGCTGTATAAGTGAAAAATTTAGTTGGGATGTCCACATCAAAAGGAGCCGCTTCCTTCACTGGTACCGAGGACGTGCCTCCTTCCCTGTCCACCTCTGTGTCTCGCGTGTTCTCATCATCTTCTTCCTCTTTCGCATCTTTCTTCTTGATCTCTGAGGTTTTCTTCACTTTTTCAGGCTGAAAAAAAGTGTCAAAGTTCTATACAGTAAGATTAAAAACAGAGATATTGAAAACATGGTTTTGGACATCTAGGTCTGGTACAATCATGTTTTTTAAAAATCATATACTAAAAGAGATTGACACGACTCCTTCCACAAAACAGCACTGTAAATTTAATCTTTTGTTGTGTGGCTTCGTGGAAAATGAGCAAAAAGACATATCACTTACAAGGATGAGACTGTCATTTATTAAAAAAAGTAGGAAAATATGGCGCCTAGGCCAATAATAATTTTGACTCCCAAAAAGTTGGAAATCTGCCGTAATTAATTTGATCATTCATTTGCTGGCCCAGAGGCTAAATCCAGACCTTCACATACGTAGCTTTCTTTACCTTCAAGTTTCAAGAACATTACTGTAATAATTCATATACAAATGCATTTAAGAAGTAATATTCTTTCATACATTATTATCTATTACAATACTTATCCTGCCCACTTACATAAACTGGAGGTAGTTTGAAACCAGGGCAGTAGTGTTTTGTTAACTGCACGCTATTCTTTGCATAGTCAGCGTGACTGTAGGCTGGAATATGAAACAACTGGCAGATCTGGAATATTGACGACCGCACCACGGACTTCACAATTGAACGTGTCAGTAACACCACTGGGAAACCTAAAACAGAGGGACACACATTTCACTGGAAATTTGTGACACAAACTTTAACGTGTTAGCATTTATAGAGACTGGAAACATCTAGTAAGTCAATTAAAAAAAACTATTTAAAGGAGCATTTTTGATTTGGTTATCATTAACTAATTACAGGAAAGAACTTAAACATTACTAGAACCATTTTGGCAGTTTCACAATACAAAAACTCCTATCTTCTTATAGATACCAGTACCCTTTCCAATTCCTACCATCGCTGCAGCATTAGAGGACACACACACATGCACCACACGCATGCATGCACGTACACACACGTACACACACACAGTATTTCAACATTCCTAATACCTATTAATATTCTGGCTAGTGCCATGATAACAATACTGTTCACACTGGTGTTGTCTGTGGTCTGCTCTAGGAGTGCTGACACAATGGAGTGTTGACCCACGGTACGATGTCTGGCTACCACCACACCAAATGCTACACTGCCTGTGACTACCTGCATACAACACAACAAGACAACAGACATGGTTATCATTATACATACAGACTTTCCTATTATTCTTGTTGATATGGTTCTGTGCAATTAGACAAAATTTAGAGTAAACTTGTCTAGTATTAAGGGTGAACCTTTATTAAGTGATATGAACAATTAAGGCAACTTTTTTTACATTTAAGTTTTGAGATCAACCATTCAGATGTTTTAGAAAACCGGATGACATACAGCATAAAAGAGTGGTGATTACTGGATTACCCAACATAAGTAATTTGAAAAATAACCTATATCATGACATGAGTAACTAAAAAAGACAAAATAAACTATCCAACATGACTCTTTAAAGCATATCTTACCGTGTCAGCAAAGGAGAGTGTGGGAGGATCTGACCTTGGATGAATTGCTAGGAGCACCATGAAGAATACAAAACTCTGCAGGATCACTGGAAGAATAAGGTTATGTGTTGACATCTGACACAACAGTAAATCATAGTCATTCATAGATACCACCATGTATAACTTTTGACATAAAAATTACAAAGCTAAAATGTATAAAAATAGGGATGGAAAAAAAAACAAAACAAAGTGAGTTAGGGAAATAGAAAGTTTTTTTTATTTACAGCATGCCACTGAAAACCAATAAAAATACTCAAAGACTTACCATGTGGAGCGTATCCAATGTAGTGATCCAAATAATCATCAGTTTGTACGAATATTGAGAGTAGGAGCACCCCAACTGTCCCCCCAACCACTATATCTGCTGGACTGTGAACTCCTAGGTAGAACCTGCTGAACATCACCGAGAATGACCCTGAAACACAGTATGATACAGTTAGTAAAAATAATAAATAAAAAAAGATGAACTTGAAAGTATCCAAAACATCCACTGAGAGAAACCTGTAGTTTTCATACAAAGAATGCATATATACCTCTATACTAAATCATAAATGGCTGATATCAAAACAGATTGTTTGTTATGATATCTGTATGTTCATATAAGAGTCAGCAAAATCCTGCCCGTGGTGACAAAATGCAACAATCCCCAACTTTTGTCATAAAAGAGTGGGGATAATGATTCATAAAACAGAATTGCGAGCATGAAGTTTGAACTACCACAGTAGTGTCTTAGAACTGAGGGTCAGTTGAATATATTGGCAATATTACAGAGCAACTAAATGAGGCTCAGTGGAGTGATGTGGTATAGCCTTTATATTGCAAAGGTACAAAACAGTCCAAAGAAGTTCAGCTGGGTGAAATGGTAACTTATTTATTTACAGATTGCAATGATGCAGAACAACACAATGAGGCTCAGTAGGGTGAAGTGGTAATACTTACAGAATGCAATGATGCAGAACAACACAATGAGGCTCAGTGGGGTGAAGTGGTAGTGAACATAGCAGTAAATCCAGATGTACCAGGGTAACACTACACCCAGGATGGAATGAAGACTGGGCATGGCCCTGAAAGAAAAATGTCAAAATGATATTTTTCTATGTTAGCAGTTTTTCTTGCATTGAAGGAGCATTTTGGAAAATTTATGTAATCATAATCAACAAGTATTCCAGTCTCAGATATTTTTGTATGACCATTATCATCGAGTTCCAAACTCACAAATAACCTTTAAATATCTTCTTCAAATCACTCTCCTTGGCTTAAACTGAATGATGACCTATTACATTGTCCATGTAGACACAAAGTAATCATACAAATACATTTTTGATCAGAGGTAATAATATCATTACACTAAAAGAATGTGACATGTCTATAATACATCACTGCAGCCTTCCATAAAAACAGGGAGAAAAAGAAAAAGACAAAATAACAAAAATCATTTGTTTTCAACAATATATGTGTCATAATGTTCAAAGAATCCTAATATACAATAATTTTTGTACTAGGTAACCCATTTCAACCTAGTTCAACGTTATTCATTTATTAACGTTATTCAGTTATGCACATAATCCACAGAGTTATAGAGAAAAAAAAATGAAAGTAAACAAGTTGTCAAGCTCACTTACCAGTCATATGCTTGTTCAAGGACTTGCACAGGAGGATGTGGCGGCCGGGGCAATCTCAGCAAGTTCTGAAAATTTGTTAGAAAAAGTCATTAAAATCTTGAGATACTTAATTCTAAGACATAAAAGAGAAGTTGCATTTACAAATTTGGATAAAAGTTCTGTCAGAATGAAAAGAATTCAAGTAGTTACTGTGACACAATGTAGAAAAAAAAACCTTTCATTAAAAACTTTATTTATTCTATAATTTAAAATTTTTAATATTTTTTTAAAAAATTAATAGACTTATTCAGCTTTCTATAGATTAAAATGTTTACAGCTAAAAATATCAATAACTCATATCAATCAATATTAAAAGATAAATTTCAGTGTGTGTGTGTGTGTGTGTGTGTGTGTGTGTGTGTGTTTGCATGTTGCAGTAAAATAGAGTAGTACTTCATTCCCACACATCTATTATGAACAAATCACTTTCAGTATTCCTTTTTGAGATGTTTATACTAGTATTCAGCAATTTTTTCATCAACACCCAATTTTCACCAATATCGCTAATCACACTTTACAGATTTTACATTTAAACTGATGTTATATTCACCATCATTATCGATGTAATAATTTATTTTTCTTCTTTTTTTTCAATTAAAATCAGGGAAATCATATTCAGCCAGCATTCAAACTCTAAAGACATCTAGTCCCAAAAGCCTTTTTCAGTTTCTTTTATTACTTTTCATTTATTATTATTATTATTATTATTATTATTATTATTAGTCAACAGAATAGGACTTGAAAAGAAATTACCACCAGCAGAACTATGTGCAAACAAAGTATTTGTGCATTGGCAGAACCAAAACTCATTTACTCTATGTATGTTACAGCAGAAAGTGCTTTATCCTGTACTTTGTCATGCAAATTGATCATTAGACACTCGTCATAATACTTCACGTGCTTGATACCATGCCATTTATACTTTACAGAGCCAGCCTATCACCTAAAGTCAGGGCCAAGGATTTGCTGACAGCAAACTATAAATCAGAGAAATCTGCACCTGAAAGGGCTATTCTCAGTCTAGAAGATAATGTTACAAATTTCGAGGCACACATGAAATCAAGCTTGGAGGATATAATACTTATGAATATCAAGTCATATCTATGTTCTTCAAGAAGTATCTTTCCTTTTTCAATAATGATCTGCTGTTTTTATCTCTCAACAATTGCCTTGAATTGATACCACTTTTACATATATTGATTTTAGTATCACAATACAGTCTCAAATTTGGGGGAAAATTAGAGAATACTGAGGCATTTCTTGTAGCATTCTTTCTGTTGTGCTTAGTATAATCAGCAGCATGTTGGGCTATCAAACTACTGAATAATATAATAAATGAATTAGAAATTTTCCTAGAAGACAGATTTAACAGATACCCCCTTTGATCAACTCTACCATGATGTTGATAAATATGTGAGCATAGAAAAAGTTGATCAAGAAATTCATGTCAATTTAATAATGCAGTTGCACACAACTGAAAATACATAAGGATCCCCCAGAGTTTCTAAATACTGAGAGACCCCAACCTCTCCCCATCATACTGCATGGGCTTTCTGTCATTGGGACCATTCCCACAGATATTTGGATAGCTCTATCTCCCTGGGGAGTCTAACTAAATTGCTGTCAACTCAACTGGCTTAAATGTCTGTCAAGCCTAGTAAAACTGTTAGGTGGTAATTATCTTTACCTCCTAGCTGATTTGGTAGGCATGACAGACATTCACGCCCCGGTTAGTTGATAGCAATTTAGTGAGACTCCCCAGGGAATTAGTCCGATCCAGATGGATCAATCTAGGTATGGAAACCAAGTCATTGTTTCAGTCTCTGTCATTGTTTCAGTAGATGGGGTATGAAGATTTACTTAATGTGGTGTATGGCAACGTCTGGATCTTTTCAATGGGCAGAAATTACCAATCTTTCAGGTACAAGATTTTAGAATCCTAAAAATGATATTTCTATTTAGCATTTGTGATGATTTTACTGCACAGAGTAGAACTATGGCCTAGGATAGCCTGCTTTTCAATTCTGTTGCTACCAATCAATAGTTAAGTTGCAATTTAAAGAAACTATGGCTTAAAAATACAGTATCTGTAAAATTCAGCTCTCCCTTTGAAAAGATGCAAGTCATTACAGTATATAAACCAAGTCTCTGTCAGGTCTCTGAACCTTAAACCATGAGCTATGAAGAAGGATCATGCCTACTGAAGGAAGTGATACTATAAGCAGAGTAAACCCGTGCATTAGGCTACAAACTAACAGTGCATTCACTGTCAAAACTAGATTACATGCAAATTGCTCTCACACAAATCTCAATTGAAGGCTGGCCTGCAGCTCATGTATCATTTCTGTGAGTTCATATAATAAGTGTGCCTTTGGAATGTCTTCATGCCATATGTCATACGTTGACCGAATTGTTCATGAAAACACACCATTATTTCAAGGTAGCATGGCATTCTTAATATGATCTATGGCTTTTTGTCTTCAAGCAGCAAAATGGTTCAGTGTTGGCAGTTGCATAAATCAATGTGAGAAGGCATAATATAAAAGTTGAAAAACTATGTGCACAGAAATGTTAAGTGGCATAATTCAAGTTTGCTGAGGTCCTTTTCACACCAAGCAGTACATCTTATACTGCACATACACTTTAGTTTCATTTCATTAAAAGCAATAAATTGGTTATTACTATTTTCATTATTTTATTTTCATTCATTTTTTTATTATAATTATTTTATCATTTATTTATTAAATATATACCCTAACTCCATTTTAAATTTTTTCTAATCTTTGTCTTGCAACTGCTTCTCAAATGTGATTTCCAATACATTCAATTATATTTCCAAGTCTGCCAACACTGGATAAGAAACCAATTAAAAATGCCAACACTGGGTAAGAAACATCAATTAAAAAAATCATCTTCTACCAAGCAGGGAATTACAAACATAGGTAAAAAGTGAATCAGGAAGGAAACCACTCAGTGCCAGGTGCAAAACAGACACACAGCTCAAAACAGAGTACATACTTTTCCAACCGATGCCAAGTAAAACCCCTGTGGACATGTAGAGGGTTNTCAAATGTTTACAGCTAAAAATATCAATAACTCATATCAATCAATATTAAAAGATAAATTTCAGTGTGTGTGTGTGTGTGTGTGTGTGTGTGTGTGTGTGTGTGTGTGTTTGCGTGTTGCAGTAAAATAGAGTAGTACTTCATTCCCACACACCTATTTTGAACAAATCACTTTCATTATTCCTTTTTGAGATGTTTATACTAGTTTCAGCAATTTTTTCATCAACACCCAATTTTCACCTATATTGCTAATCACACTTTACAAATTTAATATTTAAACTGTTGTAATATTTACCATCATCATTAATGTTATAATTGATTTTTCTCTTTTTTTTTTCAATTAAAATCAGGGAAATCATATTCAGCCAGCATTAAAACTCTAAAAACATCAAGTCCCAAAAGCCTTTTTTGGTTTCTTTTATTACTTTTTATTTATTATTATTATTATTATTATTATTAGTCAACAGAATAGGACTTGAAAAGAAATGAACACCAGCAGAACTAAGTGCAAACAAAGTATTTGTGCATTGGCAGAACTTCAGCCAAGACTCATTTACTCATGTATGTTACAGCAAAAAATGCTTTATCCTGTACTTTGTCATGCAAATTGATCATTAGACACTCGTCATAATACTTCATGTGCTTGATACCATGCCATTTATACTTTACAGAGCCAGCCTATCACCTAAAGTCAGGGCCAAGGATTTGCTGATAGCAAACTATAAATCAGAGAAATCTGCACCTGAAAGGGCTATTCTTAGTCTAGAAAATAAAGTTACAAATTTTGAGGCACACATGAAATCAAGCTTGGAGGATATAATACTTATGAATATCAAGTCATATCTATGTTCTTCAAGAAGTATCTTTTCTTTTTCAATAATGATCTGCAGTTTTTATCTCTCAACAATTGCCTTGAATTGATACCACTTTTACATATATTGATTTTAGTATCACAATACAGTCTCAAATTTGGGGGAAAATAAGAGAATACTGAGGCATTTCTTGTAGCATTCTTTCTGTTGTGCTTAGTATAATCAGCAGCATGTTGGGCTATCAAACTATTGAATAATATAATAAATGAATTAGAAAATTTCCTAGAAGACAGATTTAACAGATACCCCCTTTGATCAACTCTACCATGTTGATAAATATGTGAGCATAGAAAAAGTTGATCAAGAAATTCATGTCAATTTAATAATGCAGTTGCACACAACTGAAAATACATAAGGATCCCCCAGAGTTGGCATGGGCTTTCTGTCATTGGGACCATTCCCACAGATATTTGGATAGCTCTATCTCCCTGGGGAGTCTAACTAAATTGCTATCAACTCAACTGGCTTAAATGTCTGTCAAGCCTAGTAAAACTGTTAGGTGGTAATTATCTTTACCTCCTAGCTGATTTGGTAGGCATGACAGACATTCACGCCCCGGTTAGTTGATAGCAATTTAGTGAGACTCCCCAGGGAATTAGTCCGATCCAGATGGATCAATCTAGGTATGGAAACCAAGTCATTGTTTCAGTCTCTGTCATTGTTTCAGTAGATGGGGTATGAAGATTTACTTAATGTGGTGTATGGCAACATCTGGATCTTTTCAATGGGCAGAAATTACCAATCTTTCAGGTACAAGATTTTAGAATCCTAAAAATGATATTTCTATTTAGCATTTGTGATGATTTTACTGCACAGAATAGAACTACGGCCTAGGATAGCCTGCTTTTCAATTCTGTTGCTACCAATCAATAGTTAAGTTGTAATTTAAAGAAACTATGGCTTAAAAATACAGTATCTGTAAAATTCAGCTCTCCCTTTGAAAAGATGCAAGTCATTACAGTATATAAACCAAGTCTCTGTCAGGTCTCTGAACCTTAAACCATGAGCTATGAAGAAGGATCATGCCTACTGAAGGAAGTGATACTATAAGCAGAGTAAACCCGTGCATTAGGCTACAAACTAACAGTGCATTCACTGTCAAAACTAGATTACATGCAAATTGCTCTCACACAAATCTCAATAGAAGGCTCGCCTGCAGCTCATGTATCATTTCTGTGAGTTCATATAATAAATGTGCCTTTGGAATGTCTTCATGCCACATGTCATACGTTGACTGAATTGTTCATGAAAACACACCATTATTTCAAGGTAGCATGGCATTCTTAATATGATCTATGGCTTTTTGTCTTCAAGCAGCAAAATGGTTCAGTGTTGGCAGTTGCATAAATCAATGTGAGAAGGCATAATATAAAAGTTGAAAAACTATGTGCACAGATATGTTAAATGGCATAATTCAAGTTTGCTGAGGTCCTTTTCACACCAAGCAGTACATCTTATACTGCACATACACTTTAGTTTCATTTCATTAAAAGCAATAAATTGGTTATTACTATTTTCATTATTTTATTTTCATTCATTTTTTGATTATAATTATTTTATCATTTATTTATTAAATATATACCCTAACTCCATTTTAAATTTTTTCTAATCTTTGTCTTGCAACTGCTTCTCAAATGTGATTTCCAATACATTCAATTATATTTCCAAGTCTGCCAACACTGGATAAGAAACCAATTAAAAATGCCAACACTGGGTAAGAAACATCAATTAAAAAAACATCTTCTACCAAGCAGGGAATTACAAACATAGGTAAAAAGTGAATCAGGAAGGAAACCACTCAGTGCCAGGTGCAAACAGACACACAGCTCAAAACAGAGTACATACTTTTCCAACCGATGCCAAGTAAAACCCTGTGGACATGTAGAGGGTAAACAAACGTCCTAAGCGTGCATCAATAATCCTACAATAAACAAACAAAAACATTGTACAATATATCAGTCAGTATAGTAGAACCACTGAAGGTGGATACACCATGGCCCTAGCATTGTAGGACCAGTTACTGGTGGAAAAGGGGGGGGGGGGGGTACTCCCTCCCTCCCCCCCTCTTTAATCCCTAGGAAAATTCCATTGATGCAAACTTCAATAAATATCAATTTCTCCAAATTTGCACTCCACCTCCCATAATAACATCTTGGTTCAGGCAGTTTGGGCCATGCAGCAAGTTATCCACTCAGAAACGTTTCCTAGAAAACATGCAAAATTGGAAGGATAGCATTTTAAGAGGAGAAATAAATGTAAAGGGTTCCACCTCAAGTCTTACAGTCCTAACAGCATATAATGGTGTTTCACAAGCACATGATCATTGGTGCCGAAGGTCGGGGGGTGGGGGGGGGGGGGGGAGACGGGGGGACGGCAGCATTATGACTGAACACAAGGTGCTGCCTCTAACAACTTTTCACAAAATGCTTAAAAAAAAAAAAAAAAAAAAAAAATGGACACTGATTCACAACTGGATAGTGCCTCTTTGTAGAAGAACTTCATTATAATTGAGGAAAAATATCAATCACACTCGAAAGGTATAAAACATTGCCTTGACAAAATCATTTTGACTTGTTACAACTGTGTTAGCTGTGACAGCCATACAGAAAAAACATTACATCATTTCAATACATCCAGATTATCATTCCTGTTTCTATAACAAAAAAAAATAAAGCTTCTACGACACCCATGTTTGACATGAAAATTCCATCCAACTTTGTTTAACTTAACACTGCAATACCATGGCAGGTAATTGGCATGACAAATCTAAATTAATAATGTCAGGAAATGAAAAATTTCAGGAATTTCTCCACGTTGCTTCAAGTTATTGAAATAATTAATTCATCAACTTGAACAGTAAAATGAATTTAGAAATATGCAGTGATGGGACTAGAATTATGTAATTACTTACAGTTATCAGTGATGTATAAAACAGAGATAACAAAGTCATGTTTTTGTGTATTTTGGTTACTCCATATAAACTACAGTCATCTTTTGGGTTTAAAATCAATTTATGACAGATGAAGTCATCATCACAGGTTTCCTTCAGATTAATCATACAAATGGTTCAGAGCAGTTCATTTAGGTTACAGTACAAGTACCAGTCTCCATTTCAGTTTTGAATCAGGTTTTATTGATTGTGACGCCAAGCGAACTTCAAGTATCAACCCTAGAAAGAACTACCGCTGCAGTGAATTTAGGTATTGATCAACTGGTATTTAAAACCAAGACCTTGTACTTGACTTCCAACCGAAAACCATTAGGCCCATTAATTAGTATCTGACATAAGTTATCTGTTGATAGATTTGTAAATACAGGGACCGAAATCTGAGAGCTTTCATATTTTTAATGCTCAATCAAAAGCCATTAAGATGCAGAATTATTTTACACAAAATATTTTAATGCCACAAATGTTCAGAAGATCTTTTCTCAGACACAGGAACTGATAGTACTTCAGATAAAATGTGTGACTTTGTGTTGGTTTTAAATAAGGATCACTTTACAAAACATACTATATTTTCTAGTACTGCTACAATAGGTGGAATTCCGTGGTTAAATTAAATTCACTTTCAAAAGACATTTCCACCTCAACCTACTAAATGTAGTATGCTGGACTTAAAAGGTCTTAATATCAGATAAAGTAATTCCCCTATTCTAATATTATTCAGATATGAAGTGTGACTTGGTGCAAGATGATATAAGAGTTCTGTGACCTAGTAACCTTTCCTGAGGATGCAAGTTTGTTTTTTTTTTTTTTTTTTGATACTGTGAGTGTCACCAGTTACCTTCAGTGTACCGGCCACATGGAAAACCAGGGACATAAACAGGCATACCACACGCCCCAAACGTATATCTATTACCCTAGAGTGAAACAATAAAAATTAAACCATAAAATTGAAATATCCTGGAATGAAAAAAAATCTTTGTGTGCACCTTAAATCACCATTGGGTGATATTAAGCTGGCACACATTTATAGGTTCTTCAGTATATATGATTATATGCACTCTAAAACAGCTATAGGAAAAAAACAAGATCATCCTTTTATTTCTCATTCTCACCGTTCCCCACATGTTTACCGTAATGAGAATGATGTATTTTTCAATTCATGTATCAGCAATATGAGCTCGGAGAAGGTAAAGAGTGGATATCTGAAAACTGTTTTAAGCAAATTACATTATTATTTTTTCTCTGCAAGACCAAGTTGGTGCACTGCCTGAAACCACAAAGTTATATGAATTACTTTTCTTCCTCTTTTTTTTTGTGATTCATAAGATGATATGAGGATGTAATAATCTGTAGCCTTTTTTAATGTTTTCTTTCTTTCTTTTCTTACAGTATCCTTTTGAGAAAACCAATCTGGCCTGAAACCAAAGAAAGAAAGCAGATATTATGCCAGAATGAAATATTTATAAAAATCTTCCCTAGTGAGCAGCAAATGAGAAGGGTAAATTCATATGAGAATCTTATCTATTTCCAGCTAGGTAGTAATTCCTTTCTCATTATCAACTCACTAAGGGACATCTCATCAATAGATTAGAGGAAATAGGACTGAGTACAAGCATTAAATATAAAAAAGAATAAATAATTATTCATAGGCTGAATCTGCTTACAGATGATTGTGTAAAATATAATAGTAAATATACTATAAACATTTTAAACAAAATTTAAAAGAGGTGTTAAACAATATAGCAGTAACTTCTTATAATAAAAGGAAATGTTAAAACCATACAAAGAAGTGAAAGAGCTCTTCAACTTGTCAGATTGATCCTAAAAAGAAAGAAAATATTATCCAGACACACTGTGTCGGTCTAAAAAAATTTCATACAGCAATAAGATGCCCTTTTTTTTTTTACAAGACAACATATTTTGGAAGGATCTCTACTGAATAGATATAGACCACAATTATATAACAGAATCGTTTTTGCCTGCTTTGACAGGAAATGAACAACACATAACCAGACAGAGAGGGCATGGCAACTGAAGCCATCTCTACAGCCTGGCTGGACCCTTGGCACACAATGAGAGAGCACATTCAGAAAAGCAGACTAACATATCCACAGATCAAATATGGCAACAATCTTGCAGCATAAACCATTTACAGACAATGAAAAGATTCCTTGGGGATTACACAATAAGCATTCAAGTGGGTCAGTCATATTTGATCCAAGGATCTGTTAGTCCACTGTTGTGAATGCGCTCTCTCTTTGTGTGCCAAGTGTCTGACCGGGCTGTAGAGATGGCTTCAGTTGCCATGCCCTCTCTGTCTGGTTATGTGTTGTTTATTTCCTGTCAAAGCAGGCAAAAACAACGCATTCAGAACAGTGGACATAGGCCCCATTTAGAATAAAGGACTAGCTAGTCCGCAGGTCAAATATGGTGGACCCACTTGAATACTTCCCCACGGGATATCTATTCAGTGTCTATTACCGGATTAGACGGCAAGTCTTGTAGTGGGTCGCCATATTTGACCCACGGACTAGCTAGTCCCCTATTCTGAATGGACCCTAACATATCCACGGATCAAATATGGTGACCTACAAAAAGACTCGCTGCTAAATTCCCGATTAGACACTGAATATATTTCCCGCGGGGATTATGCAACAAAAATTCAACAGGATCAGCCATATTTGATCTGTTGATCTGCTGTTCTGTTTGCGCTCAGAAGCACACCGAATACCAAGCAATCTCATATGTTGAAGTTCTCCAATTAATTTGACAAATTGTTATTTGAGTTTAAGACACAGGTGCAAGTCAAAAGAATTCTTGTAGGACAATGTTAAAACAATTATCCTTAAGTCTGGCTTACATATTAAGGGAGCAGTTACACTTGACAAGGCATTTATTTTTTTCACTTCTGACTACAAGAGAATACCTTACCAAGTAAAAAGTAGGATCAATGGGGTGTAGAAATCTTCTGTGCCCAGGAAGCTTAGGAAATGCATCAATTTGTCTCTGAATGGGGTTCTGCATTTCTGAAATGATAAAAAGCCACTTCTTTGCAAGACTCCACTAAACATGACAATATTTTCATTTGTATTTTATTAAAAATATATCATTTTATATCCAATGTGCCTAATAAATGCAATTTTCATCATAATCATAACTGTTCTAATATTCAAATGAAAATCGAATAAAAATTAAAGTTTTTCTTGGAAACTTATGCATAGTGACTATTATTATATTTATTACTTAATTGTACTAAGTCAGACAAAAAAAATGGAACAAAAAATTATCATGAAGAATATCATGATAAGAGAAGCAAGTACTAGTAATTGGGCTGTCACAGCTTTAGATCGATTCAACTAGATCGACCTAAATCCCTGGGGATTTACGCTAAATAGCTGTCAGCCGAGCGCGCACTATAGTTAATTACCCCCTTACAGCTTTTAGTAGGTGGGACAGACATTTAAGCCAGCTAAGCTGACAGTAATCTAGTGAGACTCCCCACAGGGATAGATCAATCTAAAATCTGTGGGAATGGGGTCTAAGTGAAAAAATTAATGTGGTGGCCTAATCCGATATATGTTCTGGTAAGCTAAGTTATGCATGCAAAGTTTTGTAGCTTCATTGTTCTCCACTAAGTAGTGGGATGTAGACAAAAGACTTCAAAAGGTTCAACACCACCACCCATTTACATAACGACCATCTTTTAACAATACATAACCTGTTTAATTCAGTCATAAAAACAGACACCTTCACACAATTTACTAATGATTAGATTTATTGCCACCAAGAGATTTCAATGAATAATCAACAAAGCCTTCTTCCACTTTATCATTCACATGATTCCATCTACTAGGAATTTTTATCAAGGAGATATTAATCAAAATATCCTCTGGAGCTAGACTCATAATACACCCAGCTGTTTGCTTTGACCCGATTCAGCTGATATATTCTAGGTAATATCATGGATGAAGGTTGTAAAAAACTGACAATTCTGAAAATGTAGCTTGCAATTTCTCATCACATTTGGACCATATGCAATAAAAGGGTCTAAATGAAGACTGAAAATCCTGAAATCAGGCATAATCCTGAAAACTTTCACCCATGTAATATTCATTTGAAAATACATCACCAACAGTAACACATTCAGCTTATAACCATGAACTGTAACCGGATAAGAAATTAACAAATAGATGAAAAACAAACAACTCAGAAGCAGTTGTGAACAATGCTTCTGATCCCTCCCTGTTACTGAGTAAACTCATTATTTGTTTTCTCAGTTACAGGATGATACATAAAGCAGTGGTTGTCTCCAGATGACAAATCAACAAGAGGCAGCAAAGTATGGAAAATTGTGTCATGTGCAGAAGTATGGACCTTAAAACCCCTTTACACTGGACAGCGTCCTTTTTGCAGCATTCTTTATGCAACTAAAAAACTGCCATCCCTGTGGTCATAGAAAGGAGGCACAAGATCGCTTGCAAAATGGTTGCAAAATGAATGCTCAATGATCAGCCAGTTGTATTTTTTTTTACTCTCAAGTGGGACTTTAAGAACGCCATCTAGTGTAAAGGGGGCTTTACCTCCAGCTTTGCCAGATCTGTTTAACTACCAGGTGTGATGGTGTGCATTACCAATGTTCCACACGCTGGATAACTTTAGGGCCCATTCCCAATGGAACTATCTACTAGAATGAAAGTTTAATTGGAGACGGGTCCTTGGGCACAATCCACTGGTTCAACACTTTGATGACAAGCGACCCGATATATATTTTTGTGTTTCAGCTAACAATGGCTAATTATAAAATCATGTGAAAATAGTGGTAAAACTATCTGGTATACTAGCACATTCTTGCTAGATCTAGGAGTCATGTAGCCCTGTTTATGCTGATGGTTCAAATATTATGATTTCTGTGGAACTGGCATTAGTAAGTTACACTGCTGTTATCCAAAAATTGAACAGATTTAATTGAAAGAAGCAATGAATTAATTTGCAGTGTCTTTTTTTTTCCTGGTACCAGTATTCAATAATTTCGAAAACTCTGCTGAAGGCAACCTAACTGGATAATGATCACATGGAGCCTCTCTTGTGAAGTTAATCAATATCAGTCTGAGTAGACAAAGACTATATAAACTGTCAGAGCATGCAATGCATTGTGTGTATCATCAGGTTTAATTGCCATTACCATGGCTTCTGGTATCTTAATACTTAGCAGAGACAATGAGAGAAGGAAGTTAAGTAACTGAAAGACATTAAGGCCATGTGGATCATCCAAAGAGACTGTTTGTGCGGCCATGTTTGTCATTGCTGTAACAATAGGTTTTTACAATCTTAACACCTTTTCAAACACTGAAGCACATGAGTAAACAATTGTTTGTGGTTAATTGCTTGTTAACATTGGAGTGACAATGTGGATATCTTACATTTTTCATTATGATTGTGCTTTCAGTAGGAATGATTAATAAACTGATTAAATAATGACTGAAATGATCCCACCTCATACAAAGAACACATTACATTCTACATTCCAATGCTTGAATAAAATATCATTATGTAACATTTAATGTGTAGCTACTACATATTTCTAGTGCAGCATCAAATAAAACTGTAAGGGCAGTTCTATTACTGCATCCTATCCAACCATCTGCAAGTGGCTCTCATTACTAATAATTCCTCATAGAAAAGGATTCTTCTCCGGGAAATCAATGTTTTGTCTGTGGCACATGCCCATGGCCAGGAAGTGACAGTAAATCTGGGGAAAAGAAACACTTTGCGTTTCTGGCAAACAGTTCAAGAAAACAACTACATTTTGAACAAGAAAACAAGAATGATTATTGGGTTCTGCAGCACAAGGAAACAGCTGCAGATGCTTAATGTGTCGATATATAGCATGCAATCTAGTAGTATGTCTCATCATATCATCTAAGTGTTATCAGATGAACAAAAGAACACAGCTGTCTGTCTAAGAGTTACTGTTGCCAAAGGGAAGCAATAATGTACCACGTTTAAAGATAACCACATACTAAATGTCTGCAACCCAAGGAATGTTGCATTAAATGGAAGTTTTTTTTTTTTTTTTTTTTTTGTTACAATTCATTCATTGTCAAAAAATAAATTGAATAATTCCATGAATCTTTATTGTACTTATCTGTCATTCTATATAAAAGTACACTTATAGCACTTTGCATGTACATAAGTGAATTATTAAACACATTCAAAAACAGATTCACACATTTATTAAATCCTAAAGTGAACAAAATTAACAAAAAGAAGTCAGTTACTGCTATCAAATGCTAACTCTCTATTTTATACTGTACCATTAGTACCTGCACCAGTAATCAAACCCTACATATGATGGCAATATGAAGCCAATCGGATTTTCCATCTTAGTAAGGAATAATTTAAACCACTGCTTCCCAGATTTAGACTTAACCTCGATTTAACACCATGGACCTCCCCCCCCCCCCCCCCAAAACCCCTCCAGGTTGCAATAAAAGTAAAATTATAGTTTGGATGATACAAAGCCCACATGGCCAAAGATATTCACCACTTGACAAATAGATCATAAGATCACTTATAAAAAACTTATTTCTGGGTGGCACTAATGTCAGATCATTTCTGCCAAAGTGTAAATTTCCTGTTGAAATTTAGAACTGTCAACATATGTTTTACACTGACATATTCAAAGTACTTCAATATACAACTATGCATTTGTTGGATTCTGCTTCCAAGCTCCATTTTTACAAAAAGTATTAGCTTATGTTTTCCTAGACCAAAGAAATAAACTTTTCAAAACTTGCACGTTTACATAAACAAACTTATTAATTCTGTTTCTGGACACACCAAGTTCTTCACTGGCTCTTAATCTTCATAACTTGTCATGTTAACATACTTGACCTTGCTTGTGGCATGTCAAAAAGAAGTAGAAGTTTCTGAGATATCCAGTGGGCACAAAGTTCTGTGACATCATTTGAAACATCTCCCTCTGTTTGTGCTCTGGGTTAACCCTGAGCTAATCCACAAGACCAAATCTCAAGAGTAAACAATGAAGGCTAATGTGTTAAAATCAAACAAGGTCAAGCATTATTGTGTTCCAAAAAATTCACAAACATGCAAGTTCTTGTCTTGTGCACGTGGAAGGAATATATTCTTGTGCTCTGGTTCAAAAGGTGAAAAAGTGGGACAAAAAACAAATCACAGTTCAAAACCCTTTTTGGGCAGATTTTGGCAATAATGTTCCTAGCTATAGTGATTAGCAAAGCTGAGCAACATTATTACTTATACATTTTGGACACCCCTCTCCCCCACCCACACCCACTTACAACCATATTATTTATACAATCTAGATACCCCCCCCCAACCACACACACACACATCCCCCTACAACCACATTACCTATACATTTTGGATATCCCTCTCCCCCACCCACACCCGCCTACAACCATATTACTTATACAATCTAGGTCCCCCCCCACCCACATCCACCTACTAGTACACCACCCATCCCACACACTTCCCTTGGTCTGTATTAAGTAATTGCAACCTTATGTATTAATGTGTATTTCTTATCTTAAATAATAATAATCATTTTACCTTATCTTACTGAGCAATATAAAACTGCAAGCATAATACAAGAAATTATCACAACCTCATACTTTCATTAATGCACATTGAACAGCTGCAGTGTTCACCAGTGACAGCCTGGCTGAACCACCTGATAGGAAACTAGCTCTTTGTTCAGCTGCAGGGCCAACATACTAGTAGTTACAATATTTCATACACCTAACATAAAAGCAGAGATAAGGGGTTGAATCCTGACACTATTAATAACATCAGAGAGGCATTTAACCACCCACTCCTTTCCTTTTTTTTTTTTTTCGATCTTCAGCCATGTCAGTATCAGGTTGTTTATTAGATAGGCTATCTAACCTCCCCCTCACCATAATATATCACCACCCACCCTTAAATTATTGGAGTTAAACGGTACAATAATGAGGGGCATGAATAATACCAAAATAACATACACATT